AAAGAAGAAAATAAAAAGCTGAAAATAATAGCATACAGACTAGAGACAACGGGTTACATGATGGTATGTGGTTAAGTAAAGCATTTCTGGCTATTTTTATCAAAACTTAAAAAATTCATAACTCAATGAAAACCTACCTAAACTACTTCAGAATATCAAGATAGAAGCTTATTTCAGAACTTTTTCATCAATATATAACTGCACGTGTATTCCCATATTCGAATCATTATATTAGCGGGCTATGACAAGAAGAGAAAATAAACTTTTCAAAGCCCACATGCCTAACTTACTTAACCCATTTCTTCTCAGAAATCATTCTGAGCGAGATGGGTGTTTATTAACGAAGCTAATGTGCAAAATGCAAACCAAAATATGGACGTTTTTACGAAGGGGAAAAAGCAGCTCCACAGCTCCGGTGGTACCAAGTGGCTCGACATGAGTTCCAATGAGTTCCACTGAGTTCTTTTTTTTTATCTTACCTTTTCTAAACGCATCATCACCAATATAATCATGTAACATTCGAATAACAGACGCACCTTTTAAATAGGAAATATTATCGAATATTTCATCAATTTCAGCCGGATGACCTAAGACGGCAGAAGAATGAGATAAGGAAATTGACACCAATTTAGGGGGAACACGCCAGAGCATCGAGAACCCTCATAACATGCAAAGTTCTAGCATATACTTTTGATTACAGATTATGAATCTACGTGAGAAATTGTGATTATGAAAAAATTTCAGCGATTTCGATGTAAAATTACCGAGTTATCATGCACTCAACCCAAATGGGGTTTTGGTGCGTATTAGTCATTTCACTGAAAAAAAGTATCTTAACCTGAAAAATTTGAATAACTTGAATTATTTTTACCGTTAACGTATGACTTGAACATCTTGAAACTGGGCTATCTTCTTCACCTTTTTCTGTTCGTTCGATTCATGTGTAACTATGATTCTTAAAATAGGGAGCAAAATAAGAAAAAACTAAAATATGATAAAGTTTTCGACTTTTTTAATGGGGCATTTTGTATAAAATCGGTAACTCACTCATTTTTAGGCTCGAAGTTTTAAAAACTTGGCTTTACTTCGAACGCTTTAGCTGATGAGATCATAAAAAGTCGTTTTAGTTTTTGAACATGCTATACGCTTTCTCAACAGTCGCGCGAACCGTCTCTTAGTATGCCCCTACACTGTAAAATAAAAAGAGTATTCTCGAAAACTTATAAATGGTTTTCGAACATGTTACTATATGAAAGCGTTTTGGGTTTTCGAGACTACCTTTCCAGTGAATTTTCGAACCATCGAGAACGCTTTTCCTGTTCGCATACCCTTTTTCTGTTCAGCCAAGTTTTGCCCTCGAATACCCTTCAAACGGATTTTCGAAAAAGTATTCGAACTCACAAATACTCAAAAGCGTTTCATATAGTAACATTTTCGAAAACCCTTGAAAAAGGTTTTCGTGAGTTCTAATACTCTTTCAAGAACCTTTCTTATTCGGTTTGTAAACTTGTTCTCGGAAACCTGTTCAAGCTCGGTTTCGGAAAAGAAATTCTGCATAACCTTTTTTTTCCCACAACGCATGATTACTTTTGGACACGCACCGGATTTTTAATCGGTTAACTGGAACCGACCATAATTGATATAACCGTGAAAAGTATTTTTATTTACACACATTCTTGAAAATACATTTGAAACAGTATGTAGGAAACATCTGAAATGTTCATCTTAGAGAAAAAATGTTCAGACTTGTACGCTGCGCATTCCGGGATTAGATGTTTCCTTGATATTGTTTCAAACATGTTTTCAAGAATGTGTCCAAATAAAAATACTTTTCCCGGTTACAACAGTTATGGTCGGTTCCAGTTAAACGATTAAAAATCCGGTGCATGTCCAAAAGTAATCATGTGCAGTGGAAGAAAAGTTATGTAGAGTTTATTTCTGGGAACCGAGTTTGAACAGATTTCCGAAAAGGCGTTACAAACGGAATAAGTTATATCACTTAACCAAAACTATTGTATGCCTAATCACTTTCTTATAGTGGAAGTAACAAATGCAGATGTTAACGAATGGAGAGTATTTTTTAAACTGTTTGACGCTTGTATGTATGCAAGGAATTCATTACTTTCTGATGAAAAAGAGAAAGGGTTCGTCCAGAAACATGGTGATCATTTATTGCGGATGATATAGCCAGAATATTTAAGAGAATGTGTTAAGTCTTATCGAGCATACTCTAAAAAAAACGTATATTACAAAACGAAAAAGGGATTTTGCATTTGCAACTATACCAAACGCATTTCCGCTTTGCATTTTAGAGTGTAAAAACACCTTCGGTTTTTTAAAACACTGCTTTAACAGTAAATGTGAAAAAGGATAAGAGTTTGTTAAAAAAGCTTCAACTTTCTCTGTTAAACAGAAAATCGTGTTTATCTCTGGTGGCAAGCATTTTCTGCGGTGATGTCTACGAGAGAAAATGTAGAGAATGAAATTCTGCACAAAACAAAAAATCCTTGAAGGACATTCGATTTACATAAAAACGTTTCGTTTTCGAGATAAATCACTTTTAATGTCTTTCTTCATATGACAAGACGCAATGCACCAGTATCAGTATTTTACGGAAATACTGATGTCGAAAACAATTATTTAACAGTTTCAATTGACGTTTTTCACATACAAGGAAGCGTTTTTGAGGCTCAAGTCTTGAACATGGAATACACTAAATTTAATTTCCTAAAAATTATGTGCTGAAAATTAATTTCTGTACAATAGCATCAGTACATCAGCCTAATGATTTAACTTTAGAACAATTAGCAAATACTGAGCAACAAGTAACCTCATCGACTGAATAATCAACAAGAATAAATTCTACCCTTGAGTTTTTGAATTATCATCATCACCAAGGAAATCTCTCGCGAATATTTATCGGATGGAAACCGTTCTATGGAAATGATTTGTTTCTGAGCAGTTGGACACAATTGTCTATGTATGTAAAAAAGGATTTTTATTACAGAAAACAAAAAGCAAAAGAACGCATTAATAACTCTCATTTTAGTACAGAATCATTGATGTAAAGTATATAAAACATCTGTCTCTTGCTATGATGTGGAAAACAGTTTTCTAAATACCTTCCGTCAGAAGTGGGTTCATCAGTACTTTCTTCTTATTCTTACTAACACTATAAGGCCACTGCTTCATATACATAAGAATAGTCAAGACATATCTGTCCGTCTGTCTGTCCGGAACGCTCAACATATATACATAAGAATATAAGAATAAGAATAAGAATATAAGAATAAGAATATACACATATCTGTCCGGAACGCTTAACATAGAAAATTTTTACAACATATATAAATGTTGGGCGTCCGTGGTTTTCCACGGGTTATTTCTAGTTGATTATAGTCAGGAACTTATACCATAAAGTGCTTCACTATCGGTGCACACATAGTTCAGGTCACTTTTATCAATTACACCGATATTATAATTATCGATTACTCAGAGCAATGATAGTTAGGCGGGCATAAGCGCCGAAAGTTAAAAAGAGCAACAGAACGATTACTTGGAACGATTAGTTGGTATAAACTATTTATTAAATAAAGTATTTCACCATATCCGCACTAAATCGGAGAAACTATTATATAGATACAGATAAGGTTTTCAAACAGTTAAAAAACAAAATCCAACAAAGTAAGCAATAAGAAAACGAAACAAACAAAAGACTAAAAAATGTTAATTAACTGGTTCGAACCACAAGGCACCGGATCCACTTCTAACCTTTGAACAATACATCCGGGAGACTCCATTCCCAAAAAAGGACTGAATTAACGAATGTCGAGAAATTCTTTCAGCCGAACTATGTGATACTGTATCTCTCGTGCTGAATTATGACGATCGGAGGGTATATTCTTTTTATTGCTTGTTGTCAAGCAGGGATATTCACTATCAGAACTATTTTTTGCTGGTTTTTTAACTCTTTAAGAAAATTTCACTTTTATCTCTATTAAGCATATTAATCTTTCTCTCCTACAGTAAAACACAGACTATCTATGAAATGTTGAGCGCCGTTACCAACAATCACTAACATACTCTGAAAATTTGAGGATTTTCAAGAATTTCGCACCAGCGTTTTCCACAGAAATATCATCATTAAACTTTATGAGAACAGTTGTCTCTATTAACTACATTCCACGAATACCATAACCATCAAAAACACATTGTACTGTTTTTAACGGGTAATATATGAAGTGTTCATTTTATTGGTTTTGTATTTTTCATTGGTTTAAATAAAAAAACGACATATAAACCAACAAAAAATAAACGAACAAAAAACTTTAACAAACATCTGACTTCTTGAAACATTCGACTAACGCAATATAGATTTATTTAATACAAACATGAATTACATCTACTCTCTGTGGATTTTTTTGACTGCACTAGCTATACTTGTGATACACATTTCAGTTTTCCTGTGTGCATTCATAAATGATGCCGAAAAAAACAACAACAAAATATTAACAACGAAAAAACCAAACAAACACGTTCATTTCCTAAACTCTCTCTCACATATACACACAAAATAAAAACAAAAATTCACATTAAAAAGTAAAAGCAACAACAATAAGAAGACGTATGTTTTACAAAGACACTGTGCTAAAAAAAGTGAAACAAAAAAAAAAAAATAAGCATGTACAAAGACACAATTGTGGACGGTACTGTTCCGGACAGAACTGTGTAGTTGGAAAACAATGAAAACATCTTTACAGCACACGTGTGTCTGCAAAATATTTATTTTTGGGCACCGGTCAACTGTGAGTTTCTTTTTTTTTTTTGAGAGCTCTTTTAAATTTCATGCCGTAGAAAGCAAAAATAAAATATTGACTACACGTAACACACGCAAGCACAAGAGAGAAAGAGGTTAAAATGAGATTTTTCTGATGTTAGTTATGTACAATTTTTTTTTCAACTAAATCTACTTGCAAATGCAAAATGTGTATGAAAAGACTTTACGCAGATACATCTGTTTTATTACTGATTATTTGTGTCTGTGGTAATGGAAAAAAAGTTAAATCAATAAATGGTGATTGTAATTGTTGTTGATCATTTATAGTCCTAGATTTTTGCCGATGAAAGCGTGCAATACGAATACGATTCGCACTTGGACCTAAAATGATAAATGATAAAAGTTATATATAAAATAATAAAATATACACAAAATTAACTTACCAATATAGCTTAATAAAACTGGTAAGAATATGAGTCCGTGTGCTGCACCAAATAGAACTATACAAATGAACATTCGAAAATAGAACACTTGAAATAATTGTGAATGAGAAAACCCAAGTACAACAATGCCACCAATTTTTGTTAACGTAATACCACTAAACACCTGAAAACAAGAGATAAAAAAAAATGGATAATGTACATATAAGAGGTAATAATGAAAAAATATACGTACCGAACTGCCCATATAAGCTAGTGCTTGTTCGGCTCTTTTCAATCTTGATCCTTTTACGGATAGGATAAATTCACGACATATATGAGCGCAAAATTCAAGTGATATTCCAACAGACTAAAATAATTAAAAAAAAGTAAATATAATAATCAATTATTAATTTTGACTACTGATAGAACTTACCATGACAAGGTTGACTAACGATATGGCATTCATTTCAATATTCCAAACGTACATCATTGCAATCATATTTATTGTGATCATAGCCTTTGAAGAAGAAAAAAACATAAATATAAAAATAAGTTGTATTCAAGTTTGTAAAACATACGATTGTTAATGTGATAATGACAGCAGTAATTATATCCAAACCCAACAAGATAAAAGTCACAATGAATATAGCTGTTGCTGATAAAGATAAATTCATAAATACATCACGCCAAATTGTTAAGTATTGTTCATAAAATACATAAAATATACTAAAATTCAAAAAAAAAATCATAATGAAATGTTTGTTTGATAATCATATTATCTTCTTTTACCTGTATGGAAATACTTCTACATCATATCCAGCTGAACGTAAAGTTTTTGTTATATTATTTGCTATCGAATATGCTTGTTGCATTGCTTCAATAAAATCATTTGAAGTTATTAACAAACTATGATAGCCCATAACCAGACTCGCTAGAAAAGAAAAATAATTATCTCAGTTAAATTATTATTATTATTATTAAATATTTTAGAAAAATGAACTTACCGTCGATATTTTCATTTCCTCTTAATTTAACACTTTGTCCATGTGCAGCATGACCACCTTTGGCACATTTTAAATTTGGATTATCTTTTAAGAAAAATGGTAAATATTTATAAAAATCATTTGCCGATAAACTATCACGAGTAAAATTTGGTGTACATTCTCGACAGTGGGATACTGAACTAAGATTTGTATTAACTGAACAAAATTCTCCATTTTGTTTATTAATACGACAACATGGTGTTTGTCCACGATGTCTTAACCAATCATAATAATCATCTAACCATGATGTACCAATTTGTGATAAACGCGTTATAGATGGTGAGCGTGTTGCTAAACTCAACTGATTTGTTAATGAATTTGCTTCACATCCAGAACTACCACATATTAAATTACTTGCATTATAATCAGCATAATTAATACCTAAAATTAAGTTAATTAATGATTAAATCATCGTCTCTTTATTATTGAGAAACATTGTGATAATACCTTTTTTAACTACAAAATAAACAGGTGGTCCGACGGCAAAATAGTGTTTTAATGCTGAAAAATAATCAATCATATAAGAATCGGTTGCCATTGTTATTTTTTGTTCAAGTCCAATTTTAACATGTGGTAATAATGCAATACTCAAACAAAGCCATGTTGTAAATAGAAATAAAACAATGGGTCGTACGAACTTATTCATAATAAATGGAGCATAATATGTTTTAAATACACGAAATAAAAATCCATCCATTTTAATCAAATGTTCTTCAACCGATTCATCACTACCATAACATTTTTTTGTCGTAATTTTTTGTTGGTCATCTGTTGGGTCAACGAGTAATCCATTTTCAATTAATGCATCTTCATGAATAGCATTATTATTATTATTATTATTTTGATTTTGTGTTAGATCACAATCAATTGTTTTATGATCACCACCACAATTTAAACATGATAATAATGTTCTTGATTTTTTTTCATTTATTCTTCGTTTTTTACTAACATTATCGTCATTCATTTTTAAAAAACAAAATACATCGACACGTTGTGCAAGTGTACGTTTATGATCTAATGTAATAAGTGAAACGAATATTGTGATTTGTAATAGAAAATCAATTAATACGGATACAGCAGCATATAATGAAAATAATCGAACAGCCGGCATCGGGGTTAATGCGCCAAGAAAAAATGCAATCGATTCTGATACAGATGTGAGCAACATAGCTGGACCAACACGACCAACAATACGACCAATTTGAGATTCAATATCTTCATCACGTTCACGGTGATCACGTTGAATAGATTGAGTTAAAATGAATATATTATCTAAATAAATAAAAATTAGACTTAGTTTCAAACATTCTTATTTATTTAAGTTCACTTACCCACTCCAACAGCCAAAACTAAAAATGGTACAACTTCAAAAATGATCAATGTTGTTGGTATTTTCATATACGAAAAAATTCCCACACTAGCACAAACGGATACTGCCACAAGTGCCACACCAGCAATACCTAACGATAGTTTCATATCAACTAGTAAACTTTTCCAGCTTCTTATTCGTCCTAATGCCAATGTAATATAGAGAAACATAATCATATAACTGATAACAACTGTTTTAATATCTGAACGTGATTCTCGTTCAATTTCATCTTCAATTGATCGTTCAGCTCGATATTTAACATCAAACCAATCCGATTTATATGTTGACATAAATTTAAGAAATTCTTTTTCCCATAATAAAGCATTTGTCAATAGTTTATCTCCACTACGTTCATTGTTTATGGTTATTGTTATTATCAATGCTTGACCCAATGTATAATCAGGTACACCATCTTTGTTTGGAAATGCTCCTAATACCATATATGGGTCAACATTACCACCAAATTCAGCCATACAACTTCGTTTAAATGTTTTTGTTTGTAATGTAATAGGTGCTTGAATACATTCAAGGTATTGAGACGCATATACTGTATCATTTAAAAATTGTAAATCATTTTGATGATATTGAAATAATGAAAATATTGCACAATGATTATTATCTGGTTCCAGTGGTTTATAACATGTATCATTCAAATAAATTATTTTTTCATCTTCAGTTTTAGCAGTTAATCGTTGAATTTCTAATTGTAATTTTAATGAATCATAGAGAAAATTTTGTTCAAATGCCGGTCCAAATGTATGCGTTTCTTCTGCTCCTAATGGAGTTAAATAAGCTAATTTCACAGTATTATTATTTTTTGGTACCAATATTAAATGAGCAATACGATAAAATGGTCTAATTGAAACAACATAAAATTAATTATATTGTTTGAGAAAGAACAACTACTAACTTGACTTACTTAAAGTTGTCGTCAAAAAAAGTCTTTTCTTGGCGAGCACGACTATTACGCGCTACCCATAATTCAACGGGATCTGTTGTCACTGTATAATAACGACAACCAAAACACAATACACATAAAATAACGCACACGGGAGTAATTACCATTCTTGGATTATAAGCACTAAATCGACCAATACTGAAAAAAAAACATCATCAATTATCTATTTATATAAAAGAAAAGAATGAACAGACTTACGCTGTAAATGCATCGTGTAATGCATCATCAATTTTTATTCCAATACGGTCTAATAAACGTATACGTTCTGATTCATACGAGTTTTCTGATGCCAGCTCATCGTGAAATGGAGCTTTGATGTGACCGTTTACTTCTTTATCATGACCGTTGCCAGTAGTCATTACAATTGAACGAAAGTCTACAACAAAATAAAAGTATTTTTAAAAAAGATCAAGTTTTTAACAATAGACGTACGTACTTTTACTACCAGTACGCTTTTTGTTTGTTCGGTAATGCCAAATGAATATCAATACATGGATAACAATAAATATGAGAACAAACACGGTGTACATAATAATAGCAATAAATGTGACACGATGTATTTGACCACCGAATACTTGCACTTTTCCCGAATCTTCAGTTATTGTACTATTTACTGGAGCTATAACCGGACACATGGCAGTACAATCCTGAAAAAAAAACAATAATTTAGAATATTTGAAACCCAAAAAAACGTGTCTTTTTTATCACGAAAAAAAGATTGAAGAAAAATTATAATTATGTTTGGATCTGATCTTAAACAGAAAATGTTCTTTAAATGAAGGACAGTTAGAAATATGACAGATACGCTGCACACACGAAATATAACATAGAATAATTGTCATTCGGTTGACATCGGTTGACAAAATACAGTTTATCTGTTTAAAAGACGGTTTGTTACCGTTACATACTTACCATACAAGTACATTTATGTCCTTGGGCATGTGGTAATGTCACAGGTTGGTCACAACGAAACATTTTTGCTTTTGATGGTGTAAACGTTTTTTCTAATTGTGGATCATAATGTGTTGAACCATTAACAAATACGAAATCAATTTTTATTTTAGCATGATCATTCTTCATCCCAATATATTGAAATAGTGCTTTAATATCACATGCACGATTCATAGCACCACATAAAATATCGATGGCATATTGAAAATTTATACGAACGCTCCTACAAAACCGAAGGATATGTACTTAATACTAGATAAAGTATCATTTTCAACTTACCAACACGAATTAATAAATTCTTGTGCTTGTGTTTCCGATATAAAATATCTTATTTTACTCACAACTTCGATCATTTCAACTGGTTTTTGTGAGACATGGACTGATGATGATTTTGATGGTAATTGTTGATTATTATTTTCTTCGTCATCTTTATAATCTGGTTCACCCTCAAATTTAGGCTGGAGTTCCTCATCATAATCTGGTGTTTCAACTGAAGGTATATGTTGTTCATACTTTGTTACATTTAATAAATTTAACGGATAAATGAAATCACTTTGATTTGAATTACATGACATTTCACAAAATATTCTCATAAAATTATAGTAACACGATGGACAACGGCCAATCAAATTATCAATCATATACTTAAATTTTTGCATTTCTTCCAATTGTTTTCGATCACAACATAGTTTTGTATCTTTATCTTAAATGAAAACAAGAAATCAGGTGGATAATAGCGAGAGAGAAAGAAAGAAAGAGGCCGCACAGGTGAGAGAAAAAGCATACCTGTGTCAATATGTGGACACATTTCATGAAGTAATTCAAGATCTTGACTAGATGTTAATGCTTTTGCTTCACCATCGTACGATACTCTATTATAACCATCACGAATTCCATCATACCATATACATTTTGAACTAACAACACTGATGTATGTCTGAACAAACAACAGTCACATTCAGAACGATCTGTCCAGTTAATGCACACAAAATACTATTTACTTACAAAAAGTCCGAGAAAAAGATGTTTAATAATTGACGGCGACATATTCGAGATTATTGTAGCTGGAAGATAAAAAAATGTGTACAATCAGAAATTAGACAGTAAGTTTGTAAACGATTTTGTTAAGTAAAAGAAAGCAACGTATATACTCGTCTAAAACACAGTAGGTATTATGCTCACTGTGAGTATTGCAAATAAAACGATAAAAGAAAGAGATGGCGTTTATATACAGAGAACTCTAAATTTTTCTCTGAAATAATGGTTTCCAAGTGTTTTAACTGCTTGTTTCAATAAAAATGGTTAGAAAATAAGATTTGGTGATCTTCACCGACAAAAAGAACGATGTCCTAAGGAAAAATTGAAAAGCGTTTACACAATAAAGCCGTCTTTTTTATCGTTCAAAACTATCTAATCCGAAAATAAACAGCTCTGTGTCTACTTACACAAAAAGAAAGCTGTATAGTGTGCAAAGTAGATTACTGACCATATATAATGTGCATAAAAGAAAACAACAGTGAGATTGAATTGATGAATCAAACTTCTGCTACTATCGATATTCATATCTATAATCATTGGACAAACTACTTATTTATTCCTCAAGTTCCCCTAATAAATAATGATTGTACGCTATGTGACGCCTACTTTTCTAGAAACGATATGAGTATACAGGAGCTTTAAAAAGAGAAAACAATCTATACAATACCTTAGATAAATCAGAGATTGTGTGTACACACATACACACACGGCGACGAGTGATGCGTGGTGATACTTTTAAATAGTTCCAATCACCTTTTTCAATCAAATCGAAAACGAAAAAAGAGAAACAAAAGATGTTGATTGTTGACAAGTCGTCATGGACGATATTCTATACGACCGGAGTTGAAGAGGCGAAATAAAATATCTTAGACAAAACAACAATGATAATAAAATTGAAAATCTTTGACCTGAGCTCGGGTTAAGAGGAAAAAAAACAGTTTTACTTTTTAATTGTAATCCTGTTTTCTTTCCTTATATGAAGTACAAGTAATTCTTCGGAGGTGTGAAGAGGAACTCCGAGTTCACAATAAGGTTCAAAATGTACAATGGAGAGAAAGCAGATTCAAACAAAATTATATGTCGTGAAGAGTATATCATGATTTATTTTCATTGTTTCTTTCATTCTTTCTTTCTTTATACATATTGCACGATCGTCGTCTCATCATCAGCTGTATTGTGCCTATCGTTTAATAACAAACCAATCAAATGCGAGTATTTTGATCGTACGATACTCGTACCAACAGATAATATATAGACTTTCTATTCTACTGTTCTGTTCTTTTTCTTTTACACTCACAAATTATATACTCTCTCTTTATTTCTTTTTTTCAGCTAGTCAATGCCAAGAACCGAACGGAAATGCAGAAGCATATGGTAGTTGTAGGAACATATATCTCACTCAATGAAACATGACGCAGAAACCAACAATGAATGAAAATGTTATGATTATGCCTTCTCTTCTGATGATGACGTGATATTCACTCTAAAGATAGAATTGCACCTGATTCATTACATGCTTATATGACAATCTTAAAATATCTCAGGAAACGAGAAGGTGTTGTAGGTACTCTAAAAAGCCAACGAAACCTACATCAATCAATATGCTTGTCTGTACAGTTACTTGATAGCTACCATTGCTTAACTAAATTTAAAGAAACAGAAATATCTTTCAAATGTGATTCCACTAAAACATGTTACGTCCATTTTCAAATGATATTAATTCGTCTTCATAAAACTTGATCTTACTATCAAAGTTCCTTAAACATCTTTTCTTGCGTTTCATCTGTCAAGTTACTACAGTCCAAAAGCTTTGAATCTTAGAATTGAGTCAAAATATACTGTTTGAAGAAGACATACTAACGATCCAAGAAGAAAAATTCAGGAGCGAAACAGAACACTTCCTCGAGAAGAAAAACAACTAACTATTGACTGAAACGGATTTTCATCGATCTAAGATAAAAAAAGTTTCGATGTGCTGATCAGCACGCGTTTTCAGAGAAAGTGACTACATACACAGAACAGAAAAGCTGTATATATTTTGTTAAGAACGAGACTAGGATAGAACAGACGGAAAGGAAAGCACAAAACAACACTTACTACACAGTTGTTGGAATTGAACACAAACTATGAATTTTAAAGCATTAATTTTACTTTTCTTAGAAGTTTTGAAAACTAACAAAAACTTTGGTTTTCTGACGGTCTTGGCGGAAAATATCGAAAAGGAAAATGTTGATAAAAAAGAGCAAAACGTCGAAGAGGAAAATGTAGAAGAGCAAAATGCCGAAAAGGCAAATGTCGAAAGCGGATAATGGAAGAAGGAAAACGCCTTGAAAATCACTGAATGAGATATACGTATTATTATCATTAGAACTACTATTGGTTCTCATCAGATGTCCCCAACTTCGTAGTAATTATAGCCACTCGTCGAAAAAGTAAAGTATGATGAAGTTCAGTATGGCTGCTACGATGATCGCCTCACTCTCACCGCACCAGAGACATCAGCCCCAGAGCAATCAGGAAATACAGTAGCTTTTCAACAACGATTTGACACATTCAATGGATGATTTCTCAATAGAGAATTTAATGCAAAACTGGCTGGATTATCGTTCTTGATCAGGATAAACGAAAAGTTAGTTCACGATCTATTGGCCCTATCATTTCTCTTCTACTCTCTCTATGTAGTTTAATAAAATATCTCTTTCAGTGATTTCCAAGGAACAGAAAGAAATCTTCTTTTCGGCGTTTTCCTTTCGATATTTTCCTTCTTCCATTATCCGCTATGACGTTTACCTTTTCGGCATTTTGCTCTTCTACATTTTCCTCTTCGACGTTTTGCTCTTTTTTTATCGACATTTTTCCTTTCGACGTTTTCCGTCAACCCCTTTCTGTCAAGCTAAAACTCTCTATTCAATTATATGTGACCAGTATGAGTTAGAATGAACACATATTTTTTCAGTCACTATTCTTCGATACTGCACGTTTCACTGTATTTTATTCTGCTGCTATCACAAAAAAACTTAAGTCTAAATATGGACTTAAGTTTTACCGTATTACAAAAAACTTAAGTCACCGGGTGCCTTAAGCCATGGGAAATGTAGTCTTAAAGTTAAGATCGAAAACCTAAGTCATTGACGCATTTTTCGAATAGCTCAGGCATTTAACGATACAATTCGACGGAAACGACATTCTAAGGATTAGAGAATAAATATTTCGTTATTTTGCGAGGTTTGTCCCAAGTTTGTCACTGTTGCCAACAACTTTTAAAAAGTAAAAAAATGGCCAACTTAAGTCTTTTTGTGATACGGTTTAAGTCCCCGGGGCCTGTTTCTCAAAACAACTTAAGTGCGGCCTGTTTCTCGAAAAAACTTAAGTTTTACTTAAGTGAATAATTTCACTTAAGTAAACAGGAAATTATACTTAAGTGTTTTTGAGAAACTCACTTAAGTAAAACTTAAGTTTTTTTGAGAAACAGGCCCCCAGACTTAAGTCGGTCTTAAACTTACTTAAACTTTAAGTCCCGACGTAAGTTTTTTCGTGATACGACCCTCTTTCTTAAGAAAAAACTTAAGTAAAACTTAGAAAAAGTAGAAAATCTGATTTAAGTCAGATTTTCTACTTAAGTGTGTTTCTTAAAAAAAACAATATAATTTTCTGTTTATTTAAGTGAAATTTTCCACTTGAATAGAATTTAAGTTTTTTTGAGAAACAGTCTCCTGGGCTGTTGTTTCTTATTCCAATTGGCCACCAGTACATCGCATAAGATCAGAGACTTATTCTAAATGAAATTATTCGCCCTAGCTTTCTGGATTGATCATATAACTGTTACATTACATAGAAACTTTTGGCTTTTCGGAAAACCAAATTTTTGTTCCAGCATACAAATAAAAACTGGTTTTCAAAATTTCAAAAAGATAATCGTATACAACTTTCATGATCTCTTGACGTTTCTGCTACTCGTATCACTCTATGAATGTTCCTCAATCATAATATTGGAAAAAAAAAATTATAAAAGCGAAGTGCTTCAAACTTTTGAGCGTCATTTTATGTATAGACGATAATAGAGAGTTATATAACGAGATAACAATTTCATGAAATAAAATTTTCTGCTTACTCGGTATAAGATGATATTATCCCGTAAGAAAATGTTTTTTTAATGTGAACATTCCAGAGCTATTCTGAAAACATTTTTACAGTAAATAAAAGATAAAAATGTTTTCAATTCATTGATATGTGTGCTACTTATCTATGGCACGTTATCACTGTGTTGTTTATTATTTTCAAGCAAAAATTTCCTTTTGATATGTGAATTTATCCTTCAATGTTCCCAATGTTTTTAATTCAGAAATACAAAATTCTTCGATTTCTATGTACATACGCCTTCACAATAAAAATATCTGAAATATTATCATTACTAAGTACAAAAAAATATAAGCAAGACTATTCACTTTTTTGTTTCTATCGTAGGAAAATAGTCACTGATTGCTAGAGTCAAATTTTTTCTTCCTGTTGATAATGGTGATGTTGTTGTTTTCAAACTTTTTTTCACTGAACTTTTTGTTTTTCCACTAGGTGATCGATATCTAGAAAAGAAATAAGAAAAATAGTAATGACTAAAAGCGAAATATTTAAAGAAGACAAAATGAAATGAAAATAAAATATACGTAGAGAGAAAATTTTCAAATAAATACAAATGATAATTCTCAAATTATGTATATACCTTTTGTTTGATTTTGATGCTGCTTTTTCTTGATGATGTTGTTCATTTTGTTCTTTGATTGTTGTTTGAACAATTGTGCCATTTAAACACAGATCAATATGTTTATTCAATTTTTCATTGTCTCCCCATAACACTTTTTGACAAACTGGACAATTTATTGTTGTACTTATTGATTCATCTTCATCTCTTACTTCAACTATTTCATTATCTATATATATCGTAGTTGCATCTAGTTGTACATCATCAACATCGTCATCATCATCTTCAATAACATCTTCATTTTCATCAATAATTTGTGATGCCACATTTTCATCAATAATTTGTGATGTCGCATTTTCATTTGATGCGATGGATAACGATTGTCTTTTTTGAAAATATTGTAAAATAGTTTGATCATTTTTTATTTCAACAAATTTCAAATCAGCTACTCGTACACCTTAAAAAGAAAAGTAAACAACTTAGTTTTAGTTTATTATTTAAATTAGACAATACACGAATTCTTCTACCCATTAATCTTAATTTTGGTAATTCTAAATCATGTGATACTTCTTGTTGAAATAGTTGAATAGCAACGTTTTCAATTAATGTCAACTGATCAGTATAATTCGACAATGTTTTTGATCGGGTTATTATCTCAAAATCAGCTGTTTTCAATTTTAATGTTACACGTTTACAAACAATTTTATCTGATAGAAGTTCATCAACAACTTTTTTTGATAAATCACGACATAACTGAATTAATTTTAATGTATTATCTGTTGCAGTAAACGTTCTACAAAAAAGAAAAGATGATACAATATTTTAAGATGAATAGAAATAGAATCTTACGTTTCATGACCAACAGATTTTTGTATATCATCATGTTCAATGACAGTTGACCCATAACCACAACAAACTCTCATCAAAAATTCAAAACTAGTTGAATATTCAAGCAATTTTAAAATACCACGTTTTTCATAGATATTGGCAACAGTCTCAATTCCATATGCTTCTAAATGCATTGCTGTCACTTTACCAATTCCTTTAATCTTTCTTACTGGTAAAATTCGAATAAAATTTAATATAACATTAACATCTGACTGAAGTAAAAATTGACCATTTGGTTTATTTATATCCGAACACAATTTTGCTAATCTTAAATTACAAGCTATTCCTAAAAATAAAGATGAAATGATATTGCTCTTAATTTGAATGTTGTATGTACATACCAGCACTGGCAGTTAAACGTGTTGCCAAATAAATTCGATGTCTTAATTCACGAACAGTTTCTTCAGCATTCAAACCAAAACAAATAAATTCATCTGATGAATCCGGCTGAAATAAAAAAATGAACAGTATGTCATACGGTTAATGTGCAATGATACTTACTTCTTTAGGATAAGTTCGTTGTTCATCCGAAAAAGTTAAACGCATTTTTAAATGCTCTGTAATATCAGCGTATGCTTCATCCATACTTGCACTAGCAAAATTTGAATCATATTCATTTACAATTGACCTAAAAAATACTTTAGTTAGACACTTTTATAAATTTCAATTTGACTTACATTATTTTTCTGCTGTCAATTCGATATTTTTCAAAATTACACGGAACAATGACAAGATTGGGACATAATTGACGTCCAATAAAGCCTGGCATTGCAGCGCGAACTCCAAATTGACGTGCAAGATAATTTGATGTTGACTAAATAAAATAAAGTGATTTTTTAATTCGATAGAAAAAAAATGACGTCTCTTCTTACCAACATTCCATCTCCTCCTACGGCCATCGGCTTATCACGTAACGATGGATCGTCTCGCTAAAATAATGAAAGATAGACAATGATCGAGAATAAACTTCAAAAATCGAACCATTTCAACAGCAGCATAAAAAGCGTCCATATCAATATGTACAAATATTCGCGTTAAATCACGTGTTTTTTCCAAATTAAATAAAAATTTATCCACCTTAAAATAGAAGACAAAAGTCATAGATTCTGATATTAGATGATATTTTACTACTACGTACAGATTTTTCTGCTTGCTCAATTTGAAATGGTGTAAAATTTTTTAGAGTTTCCAGTTTTCTCTCAATACGACGACGATTTTCTTCTTCACGACGTTGTTGATTTTTGAAAAATTTTGAATCTGAAAAATCCATATAGTTAAAGCCATATTCAATTTACATTTAACAACATCTTACTTTTGGAATGTTCATGAATAATTGTATTGATTTTTTCTGTGTTTAATCCTATCATACCCGCTTTCGAGTCATCAACATCAAGAAATCTTGATTGCTTATTATGAGGTCGCGGTAAATCAACACTTCTTTCTGGTTTTGGTAACACACATTGTATTACTGATGCTTCTTTATCACTATCAGGATTATCGTCCATTTAAAAAATAAAATCTAAAATGAGAGATTTTTTTCTACTCTTGATCCGGTAAAAAATTCTTAATTCGAAATAAGGGTGGAAATTATCTTTAGCATTTTTCATTGCGGTTTCGAAGAAATAAACTAGATGCTCAATCGTTTCAATCAATCTCTGTTAGAAAAGTAAAGTGGATGAACAATCAATTAAAGGGAATAACTCATTTCCTTTTGATTTTGAATGTCTTAAACAAAAAGCGACATCTATTTCTATTCATTGACAGGAAAATAAAGTCCATGGAGAGTCGCGGAAGAGTGCTTTTTTGTATTTAGCACACTCGATAACCCAAAAGATTTTCTATTTTTGGCGAGGAAAAGTTTTTATGGGAAAATAATATTGGTTTCAAAATTTTTCTTAAACTTTTGTCAGTACCCCTCGCCAAAAATAGAAAATCTTCGGGATTATCGAGTGTGCTGAATACGAAAAAGCGCTTTTCAGCAACTCTAACTGAAATTTATTCTTTTCTTCACGTTGATATGAGTTGGTAATACCAGGGTGCAATATTCATTCTTTTATTGACTTTTTCCCCTCAAGAGAAACAAAATTAAAGCCAGAAAATAGTTTTATCATTGGAACATATAGTTATTCACTTTGAAAATCGACATCAATAAATTGTCAGCACCACCGAATTTTAAGCAAGCATAGGAACAAAAGTTATATCGAAGTGTTTGCTTGTCGTCGATATTTTAATTATTCAAAATCATTTAAATCAGCAAATGAGTAATATTGGTTAACACACAAGTGAAAACTTATTCCTCTATTTAAGACCTATTAAATTTAAGTTGAACAAATAAACTGACTTTTGATGCTCTCTCTCTCTCTCTCTTTCTCTCTACATACCTAAGTATTTATTTAATATGTGTTTAGGAGTCATACTTCAGATAGATCAAGGCTTCGCATGATGATGAGGCTATCAGAAATAGTCAATAGTCTAATCAGCGCAAGACAGATTTTTGGTCTTATTCCGAAATCCCTCATAGTACGATCTTTTTAATTTTTTCGTCTAACCTTTTATTTGACTACTTTCTGTTAAGTTTGATGTTTCAAAAGCAACATATTTATTTTCACTTTTTTGATTATCGAGTAGATAAATAAAGAATGATTAACAGTTAACCTCTAATGAATTAATAAACACAATAAAACGTACAAAAACGGACCAATAACATGAACTGAAAACAGAAAGACTACTTAACAGATGTAAAAAAAACGAATGAAAACAACAAAAATAATAACAATAATCTAAAGATACCGAGAAAAATGGTTTGCTTTAGTGGATTAATAATTGAAAAACAATATATCTGTTGCGACTACAATACACTTAACTAACAATAGATGATGTCAAATTTTCTTCACTTTTCTGATATTCAAACATTGCGTCAAGTACCGCCCATAGACACGATCCTTTAACATAATCATTATCCACTAGATTAACTAAGTAATAATTATTAGCCACTGTTTCAATTATTTCATGTGATTTTGTCTCTGGTTCATACAATTTAGCCCATCGTTCATTCCACAAACCAAAAGCTTCATCCTAAATAGAAAAAAGGTTAACAAAAGTTCAATGTACGCATTTCTCAAACGTACTTTCCAAATCATAAAACTAATTGAATCAACAACAGTCGGTTGAATAATTTCTTTTCCCGGAAAACATCCCCATGTCACGGCAATCGGTTGTTCATCATCAGCATTCGCTTCATTATCATTGCCCTTATAAAGTCAAAAATATATATCATTGAATATTAGAAAAGGTAATCAATCACGAGTATATACCGATTTATTAACAAAATGATAATTTACAGATGGAAATTTTCGTAGTACTTCACGTAATGCAGGAATATTTTTCGCACTGGTAAAGAATTCCAAATAGGCCTAAAACAGAGACACAATATGGATCTACAAATGTTTAAATCGTTAATCTACATACTTTTTGATACACATATCCATTTGGCAGACCTAAAATAAATACATTCTCAGATGCAAACTTTCATATATAAACTTTCATTATTGTAACTTATCCCATCCAACAACAGGATCAGTGCTCGGTGATCCATTCACGGCTGGTTGAGAATTAATTGTTAAAATACCGCGACGATTATATTCAACAAGATTATTTTGAATTAATTTTGTTTCTAATGACAACTCCTCATCTGTCCATGGAAAGTGTTTTATCTAGAAGTATAATTTAAAAAAAGTATATAAATTAACAAGATATATTGAGTTATACGAACTATTTTATTATTTTGATTTTTTTCACCGCCAATGTAACAAGCAAACATTTTCCAAACATCTTGTTCACTGAAATCAAAAATGATTATATTCAAACTGACTCTCTTACACCCGAATATAAACTTACCTCGTCAATTCTCGGCCCCATTCTTCAAGTAGTTCATCTTTTGTTGCATCAATTTTTAAGTAGAATAAATGATAATCAGTCATAACACCAAAACTCGGTGCCGATGAAAGTCCCCAACGTCCGTTGGGAAACTCATTCCAATTTGATGTTCGATGAACATAAGATTTTGGTCGAATACTCCAAAATATCGGACGTACATTTTCTTTTGAACGTGTATAATTTGCTGTCGTCTTTTTCCTAAACAAAAGCAATAAACAATTTTAACTTATGATAATACGAATGTTAAACAAGCAAAACGTTAAATATTTTGTAGAAATACTAAAAAAAAGCATATGATCTTCCAAGTACGAAAGAAAACTGACGAACCATGGTAATGCTCTTAATGGTGGTTCTTCCATCCATAAACCAAGCTGTTTCAACACTTGTATTGTGGCATATTCACGATTTAACGTATAAAAATGTAGACCATTGACAATACCAGAGTCTAATAATGATGTACATAATTGTAAACATGCGTGTACACCAAAATTTCTTATTGCTTCATCATTATCTTTAATCGGTTCCATACATTCGACAATTTCTTTTGGTACATCTAATTTTGCTAGTCGAACAATATTACGTAAACTTGAATAACCCTAAAATAATGAGATATGTATTGACAAAATAGAGAAAATCTTGAAAACTAACCTGTATTGGAAATATGCCGGGTATAATTGGACACTTAATACCAATAGCACGACAATCAGCTTCAAATTTTAGAAATGTTTCAGCCTTAAAAAATAATTGTGTAATAACAAAATCGGCACCACACTCTACTTTTTCTTTTAAATAACGTAAATCATCATCATAGGAGCCTTCTGGATGCCCTTGTGGATAACCTATAGCGATTAAGAAAACGTATGATACTCCAAAGTCGATAGAACAATTCGTGCAGAATACTATCCACGTTAAAGTTAAATAGATTGATTATTTTTGAATAATGTTTTAAACGAAAGAAGATAAAGACTTAGAATTTTGGTGCATGAAAAGAGGAGATCTTAAGACATCTTTTCACGTAGAGTTTTGGTTCAATTTTGAAAAGCTCATACCTCATTCAAAATCCATTAAAATGATTGCAAAATTTTCTGATATCGTGAAGTTTTTCCGTTAAACGTGATTATAAGATCCAAATTTGAAAATGACTTTGTTTTATTGAAAACTATTCACGAAACCTATTCAGAAAATCACAAGTTTTTCTAAAATGTTTTTACAGATTTTTTATCAGTTGAATATAGAATAGTCTACAGCCTGTACACTCTGAAGTTTTGAGATCATTTTAAGAGTGCTTACACCTTCTTTATTCACCTTGTTGACAAATATAAAGCGACACTTTCGATTCGCGAAAATCCCAAATCTTTATCTTCTTTCGTTTAAAATGTCATTTAAAAAATAATCAGTTTTATTTCGTTAAATTTTGAAATGAATCGTCCTTACCAGCTACACAAATGACAAAATAATCTTGAAAATGTTGACGAATAAATTTAACTAAATCAACACCGTAACGAAAATCTGTCTTTTTCGGATCCCATTCTTCACCGAGAGGAGGATCTATAAAAAATTTTAAAAAAAATGATGCAAACATAAAGTGTTGTTTATCTCTTAGAAATCCTACCTACCTCCACGTAATGCCAATATATTTCTTATACCAAAATCTTTTGCTTTTTTTAAATATTCCATCATGGATTCTTTTCGCGCACCATAACATGTGATATGAAGCATTGTATCAATACCACAATAATTTAACATTGTATTAGCAATCATCATTGAACTTGTCTCTTTATCTCCCGCTGGATCACCTGCTGGATGCCAAGTAATATCACAAAATAGTGGTTGTCCAATAGCCATACGATCAAAACTAAAATCATCTTGAACTTGAAAGTTTATTTTATGCTCAAGAAACATCTCGTAACAAAGGTAAGCACAAAAAATCCAAAGGCTTGTAAATACAGACGATATAACATCGCGTAAAGGCACTGTAAAATCATGTAAAGCCAGACTTCAGATGGTGTACATACACATCTAATTACAACTCAATGTCTCTAAAAGATGTGCATAACCTCAAGATGGCGTAATGGTCACTTTAAGCCGTGTAAAGCACAGTTTAAGATCGCGTAAAGGTCTGTTTCAGATGGCGTAAAGTCTTTTTCAGATCGCGTAAAGGCCATTTTAAGATCGTGTAAGGGTACTTTTTTTAAGTGCGTGTAAGCAGGGGGAGGAGGGGATCAAAATAACTAGTATTCGCCTGGTTTTTGAGTATAAACTAAAACTTCCTCTACTTTGTAAGACAGGAGGAGTTTCACAAAAACGTATTCGGTTAAAACTGATTGCAAATTCAGACTCTTCATAGTCGGTTACCTTGTATGGAATAAGTTTGAATCGGGGTACCCTAGAAAAATTTCTTAGTCTCGTTCAGCCCTTGGTCTCCTCTAGGAACTTCGTAAACAAATGCTTTTGCAAAACAATGGAGGAAATTTTTTCTAGAATATCTTGATCCAAAACTTGTTGCGTACAATGTAACCGACCATGAATAGTCTGAATTTGTGATCAAATTGATATGAATTTGTGAAGTGAATCCACGCGTATTTAGAATAGTTTAGGGACATGAGATTCAGTTGGCACCATTTCTCAAATATGTAACAAATATGTTTAGTAGTTAATTTGTTTTACTTACCATCCGATGAGATTAGCAGCACCCGAGGGTGTACGCGGTGGAAAAAATTCTAATGAACACCAACGCTCATTATTTGATATTCGTTTTCGAATTTGATCTGTTAGACGTACATATTGATGTGATTGAAGTGAACACGAGCCTTTTGGAGATACTGGGCTTCTTAAGGTGATATCTAGTTGACCATTATCAGAGTTATTACAACCATCTATGTCAATACCGTTACCATACATATTACCAGTTTGTATGTTACCGCCTTCTGGCTTCATTCTTTATTTTCTAAATAAAATGTGAAAATTAATTTATCATGTATCGATTATCCAAGAATTTCTAAACATATACTTGTTCTATCCAGTAGAAAAAAAAAAGAAGACGGATAGCGCACTATGTACGTATGACGGTATGGGTGGTATGTATGGGTGGCTGATAAATGATGTAAGTGTGCTAAAACAAATGCTCATAGTTCTTTTTGATAAGAAAAAAAATCTACAAAGAAAATAAAAGAAAAGGATAAAAGAATAAAATACACATGGTAAAAGTGCGTCAAGGTTATCTACTATTTTTTAAATAGGTCGTAGGAAACAATAAGTCGTAGTACAATAAGGATTATCAATTACGGAATTTTATATTTTTAAAAACATTTTATGTAAGTATTAACATCAGGTTTAAATTTTTCCAGGTATATATGGTATTATTGTGCTGAAGATTAGTTTTTAAAAAATATAATATCGTTTGCTCTAACCTTATTTATGAGGTCATATGTCAAGCTACATCTAAACCCTGCTGATAGATGAAGACTTCAGATGACTTTCATTCTCTCTCTAGAAGACACATTGAGCTATCTTCTTAGATAAAAAAAACGAATATTTCCAATTTTGATAATCTGAAACGAATTTTTCAAAGATCGTTCCATTACTTACACGTTCAACATTTCTTTATTAGATTTTTTTTATGTGTAGAGAAATGATTGATAAACTTCATAAACTTTTCATGGATCATGGGAGAAAAAGAAGAACAACTCCAATCAATTTTGATGTAAACCATCTTCGCACTACTATCTATTTCAAAATAGAATGGAGTTGATTGTATTCTAAATAGCTTTTAAACAAAAAGAAGTAGAAGTGTCTGGTAAACCTGATAATACAATCAAAACATTGAAATATCATGATTTTGCTCGACAGTTTTCTATAAATTCTATCCCAAAACTAATAGGATTCTCTAAAAACTTTTTGTAAATTTCTTATGAATGTGATAAAGAACAGTATAAATAGTTCATTCTGAAGTTTTCAACTCGTTCTGATGTATTTAGAGTGATTCAGGAAATTTTCAATCTTAGATGAAACCAGCCTTGAAACCCTAATTTTTGCAAAACTCGATTTTGACCTGGTTTTCAAGTATTTTTTCAAAAGTAAACATTGCCATCAGATTCAGTGTGAGTGATTACCTATGTCCCATGCGACTTGAAGGTTACTTCATGCCACCGGGTATTACTTATAGGGCTCCAAGCAAACCTTATATCACACCCGAACTACTGAAACTAAAGCTCCAGCTTGACTGCCTTTTGAAAAGGATCTTTCGATGATGGAAAAAAGGCTACTATATAGTCATTTTAATTTTTGAAAAAATAGACTAGTTTTACAAAGATTCTTTCGAAATCATACCTTCGAAAAGGATTTTGAAATTTTCTTTGCTCACAAAAGTACGTTTTCTTCTATCAAACTACATGCTTCTACTTCTTTTCAATTAAAAGCTATTTAGAATGTGTTCGACTCCATTCTGTTTTGAAATAGATAGTGGTATATGTTTAATACAACTGTTAGATGAAAAAGTAACTATAAAATAAGGAATAAGTCTTGAGAAATATCTAATTCAAGTATGTTTACAAAAATATGTATAAAAATGAGAGACATTAACTCGATCTTCAAAAGTGAATTTATCTTGCATTTAAATACCAGAACTGTGTACAGAAAACAAAAATGTAAGGAAAGTAAATACACTATACCAAAATAGGTAACTCGTATGAAGACTATAATTTTGGCGACTAATGAAGGAATAGCTGATAAAACGCTTTTCCCATAAAACACAGTTATTCATGATTATTTTTAATGCTTATCACGAATCGAATGTCTGATGCTATTATAAGGTGTTCCAAGTATTGCTCTATATAAATCGAATTTCTCTCGAGATCTATTTCACATTTTCGATTGAAGAGATTGTAGAACTGGCCGAGCTACATATGTGGAGAAGTTTTCAAACTGCACGAGAGAGAAATTTTTGCAAAAAAAAAGTGGTTTTTAATTTTTTTAAATTTTTTCTATCTAAAAAATTTAAAAGATTCGAAGGATCTAAAATTTTGGAAAACTCTTCAGTTTCAAAATAATTCATATTCTTTTCATTTTTGTAATCTTTCGAAAGCATTTTCTCAGATTCAGCATCAAAAACTGAGTATGAGAATGATAAAAATCGAAAAGAAAAACGATGTATACTTTTAAGGCTCATTTAATGACGGTTCTAATGAAGTAAAAACACCGGCTTCATCTCTTTACACAAAAAACTAGCTAAGTTTGCAAAATTGTTTATGAACCTTTGACTTCAACTTCGATCAAGCATCATTCTTTTACTCAGTTTTTGATGCTGAATCTGAGAAAATGCTTTTGAAAAGTTAGAAGAACGAAAAAGAAAATCATGTGAATTATTTTGAAACTAAAGAATTTTCCAAAATATTAGATCCTTCGAATCTTTTCAATTTTTCTTTCTACAAAATTCTTAAAAATTAAAAACCACTTTTTCTTACTCAGCTCGATATGCTCTATCCAACCCTGTATAAATAAACGGAGAAAACAAAATCTTGCTCTATTTTCGCATTTCAGGCACCTCACCTCGTAACTCGTATATCTTGATCCAAACTTTCCTCTCATTCAGTTCAGTCCACATATGTAGTTGGACAATCGCGACAGATCATAATCATGAATAACTGTGTTTCATGGGAAAAAACGATTTGTCACCAGAAGATACTTTCGTAAGACCAAGATGTTATTTGTTTTATCTTAAGTTCTGAAAGAGATGTGATAAGTGATCTATACATACATAATAGTGGATGATCAACTAATAAAAGTGTTTTCAAAATGCCTTGTTGGATGTATAATAAAATCTTTACTCTTAACACTAAAAAAGGATGTCTTACTATATATGAACGATAAAAATGTTAGTGTAAAATGTGTTGTATTTTTTTTTTCTAGTTTTACAAAATTTTTTGTAAATAAATAGTTTGACCCAGCTTTTCTCCAGATTCATTATTTTTTTATCTAATTCAAAAGGAAAATCTCAATCTTTACTTGTTGATGTGTCAACAATATTTGGCTCTTCAATCACATCTTGTAGAGAACATAAAACACTTGATTGAAAAACCGGCATCAATATCTGTATGTGCTATAACAATTAGGCAGAAAATTATTGTCCATTGATTTTAGTTAAATTGAATCGTCCTATTTCAACATAGTATTTGTAGCATAAAGTGTTTTGTCCAACTTGTGATCATATTATGAATATGATCCAATACTTGATGGTGACTGTTTCTCTGTTACATACTCAAGTGTTTATAGTAACATTTCAATATTTCCTATTCAATATGAGACTATTTGTGATGAAACCCAAACCATTTTTAAGAAGAAAATGGATTACCAGGACCAATTTGACGTTGTAATTAAAATCTATTTTGATTGAGGATCAACCAATTGACAATAATTGATGATATAGACAATATTAATAATATAATAATAAACAGTTACTTCAATGCGTACTAACTAACAACCTAGTTGAACTTGACTATTCACTCGTTGAAACAACCACGATTTAAAGTTAGTAATGTAAAATTTTATGATATGTAAGCGTGTATGTAAATATATTAATCCATTAACAAGCCTCGAGATGCTTGATCTAAAAACAAAGAGAATAAGACAGTTGAAAAGAGCGTTACTCTTTCATAATAAATGAATTATTCCACCTTGTTGCGTTTTAAGCTTATTTTGAAGCAGCCTAGTGATTTACTACACGAAAATTACTAACTGTTATGCTGTTTTCTTTTTTCTGTTAAGTCGACTTAAAACTCTTTTCCAAAAATTAGATATTTTCTTCTAAAACTAGAGAAAAACAACAACAGATAAATAAACCTTATGTATTTTTTAGAAATGTATTTGGTTAATTTATTGTAGATAGAATGTGTGAAAGATTGTTTTTTTAAATTATTTCTCAACATATAACAAAAATTAAAAAAGAAAAATGTCTTTACATATACACACACAAACACACATACACACACATTTAAAGACAGGAAAAGTTTTGTTATCAATTAACGAGAGAAATTGTGCTCTACTCGTTATAAAGCAACTAAAGAAGTCAACGATTTCAATTCTTCACTTGTAATTCAAATTCAATTTTAATGACATTATTAATTTTGCACCAATAAAGTACATTCACAAATATAAAAGAAAAATGAGATATCGCTCGCAATAACAATTGTATTCAAAATAAACAGAAAGCACCTCACATATATGTATATATATATATAGAGAGAGAGAGAGAGAGAAATAGTTAGTCTAGAAAAGTAAATCTGTATTGGACGACATTGAACTCCATTGTATACTAGAATCATTTTGTTTTAGTGAATTATTCGTCGAAGATATAGTTGATGAAAAATTAGATGGTTTTGTATTGGATGTAAATAAATTTTGTCTTGCCATTATGGAATAGGACGTGGGTAATGTCGATTTAGTGTTAGAATTATTATCTGAATTTGAAAACGAATTCGACTGAGATAATATTGATATAATATTGTTATTATTATTATTATGTTGGCTACCAAGTTCATATGGTTCTACATGTGTCGGACGAAATGTATGAAGACTACCTAAAATAAAAAAATTAGTTTAAAAAAAGAAACATAGATCAAAGCTATTATATTACGCACCTTTTGATTTAACAGGTTTTTCTACAAGATTATTTAAATTAAATTTGGCATTAATTTGTGCCAAATGTTCTAATTCATCATCATCAACATCATCACCATTTTCACTCATTTTTTCATTTTCATTTATCATATTTATTAATTCATTTTTATTATCTCCATTTATTAATGATGAATGTTGTCCCGAATCGATATCATCGTCTGTTAAACCATATTCAGCCATTAAAAATTCGTACGATGGATATTCAAATGTAGCAATGTCTTCAATAAACTGAACACGAACATCCTAGAATAAAAAAAGAAAACCAAGGTGTGTGACTACGTTAATGTCAATTTTTTAATTAGTTGCTTACTTTTTTAAGACCAGAGAATATTGAAGATTTATCTAATTTGACATTACCGCCAATGACTTGTATTGGGATTGATTCTACAAGAGCATTTGTGAAAGATGTCAATGATTTATTATCATTTGACTTTACTAATATTGTTGTTTCTTTACTATCAACTTTTGAACCGCCAAAAAATGTTACACCTTTTGTACGATGAACTGCTGTTGAATTTTTAATATCATCAGATTTTGTTTCATTTGTTGATATTAAGAGATTTGTTCGAGATGTTGATACATTTAATTCTGTTGAATTATCGACGAAATCATCATTTGAATATATTTCATTTGTACGCATATGATGATGATGATGATGATGATGATGATTCAAAGTGAGATTTGATTTTAATGATGGCACAATTGATAATGATTTTTTAGCTACAGGAGGTAAAGTTGTCAATTGAGATACGGTTGTATTTGTTGTTACTGATGCGACTAGTAAATTATCATTTGGACAATTTCGATTAAATAATGCTAAGTGACTTTTAAAATCGATTGGTTTTGAATCAATAATATCTGACGTTACTTGAGAAGCGTTAGTATTATTATTATCATGTATTATTGGAATAGGTACGACAGTGGAAGTTAATAAAAGATTTGATTTTGTGAAATTGTCTAATTGTTTTTCCTCTATTTGTGATGATTTTAATGTTGATACTGTTTCCGTTGATGATACTTTATAGGAAGGTAATGGTGGCCGATGAGTAGAATTCTAAAACAGATCATTATTCGACGTTATTTTCACTATTACGTTGATTTGATTGATCTGAAGAATTTAACTTACCATTCTTAGATTCTGATCGGTACTATTATCTTTTAATGTCATCGTTCTAATATTATCTGTAGTCGACATCAATCTGTCTGAATAGTTTTGCTCTGTTGTAGTCGTAGGCGGTGTGCCAGACAGTGGCGGTGTATGAGATGTGACGAGATCAGGATAATATAATTGTGTCTGGTGTTCTTTCAACGATGATTGTGGCGGTACTGACATTGTTCGTTTTTGTCTTAAAGGATCATTATTATAGGGTGACAAACTACGACTACGTGGACTAGATATTTCTCGATAACTAGGAATATTATTCGATCGTGAATTACTGTTATTATTATTATTCGTATTATTAATCATTAACGCTGTTAATTTATCAGTATCATATCGACTCATTCGAATTTGACGTTCAAACATATTTTTAACTTGTTCAACAGTACCGGCTTTTGGTGCCTCATCAACATGCAATTCAGTGTATGAATGACGAACAGATGATGTTTTATGTGTGGATTGTAATGTATGATTGTCAGTTAAATTTGTTGCTGTTGTATCAACAATGATAACATCATTTTTTGGTGTTAAAAATGATGATAATTGTTCAGCAGTAACTATGTGTCCTCCTATATACGTTGTACTATGTTGATTAGCAGTTAGATTATCTTGACTTCGTGATAATCGTGCCATATTTTTTAATGGTGAAGGTGTTTTAGTAACAACAATAGATAGTGTAGATGGTAACAATGGTACTTGAGGTATTAAAGATGGCACTGATTGAAGCATTTGTTGTGGTATAACTTTTGGAATGGCTGAATTTGTTAAAAATAAATTTTCGTGTGAATCTGATGTTATATTTTTACTTAATGAACGATATTTAATTGCCGCAGTCGTGTACCGATTTGAAGTTAACAATTCAAAACGTTGTTTCATTACGTTAACAATATTTGATGGTACTTCATCTTCATTACCATTTGTTAATTTTTGTTCGTCCATCATAGTCACTGATGTGGCTTTGGACATACGTGACACTGATGATGGAACACTCGGTTTAAGTAATGAAACATGATTATTTGTATCATTTAAATGATTGTGCATAAATTGTTCAGTACTCCGTGAGAGAAGATGAGACGATTTTAGTCTAGATGAATGTAACGATAATGGCATGTTTCGTTGCTGTTTTTGTGATACATCATGTTTTTTCCATGGTGGTACATTTTGTGAGTGATGATGTCGATGATTAAGATATTTTGTTGATCGATCAAATGGTATTGGCACAACAACAGACATATTTTTTTTTCGTTACGTTTTAAAAATCACATATGTTCATTAAATTTTTAAGAAAAAAGATGAAAGAGTCTGTTCATCTAAAACACAATGAACAATTATATAAAGTTTAAAACTACGGATAGATAAGAGATGCACATATTCTGTGTATTTAACTTCTTAGATATTATTGAATGAAGACATATATGATAGCAGTTATCACATGACGAGTTCTAAGAAATATTCATTATCTGACAAAAGAGAAAAAGAAAAAATATTGTTTTCTTTTACATGAAGTTTCATAATATTACATGAATGACAATAGTCAGTAACGCAAACAAACAATAAATCAAACTTTATGGTTTCTCGATGAAAAAAACAAAAAAAGACTAGATAATATATTTTCAATACTTATTATCATTTTATCTCTGATTGAATTCGTTCATATAATTCGTTTACACTTGTTCGGTTCTTATCATTTTCCTCTGTGGTAGTTATATCATCAATACGTATAATTTTCTTCCGTTGTTTATGTCCATGAACTAAACTAATTTGATTTGAACGTACATTTAATATCGATTTTAAATAAGAGATTAGTTCTTCATTCGCTTCACCTTGTTTAGCATCGGCACTTATCTGAATTTCTAATTCATCTGTATCATTATTTAACTGACGTATAGAATTATTTTTAGCACCCGGCTTAATGTAAACATTTAATGATGTAGACGATGGTGATAAATATTTGAAACAACCATGAGGCATTTTAATTGTGTTACTCATGAATAATAATAATTTTGATAGGAACATGATAAAAACATTTTACAATCTAGAACGGTAACTTTAGAATTTCATCATCCCTGTTATGAGTACACCTTGATTCGATGACATGTAATAATAAAAACGCGATAATCATTTTGAACAAATATAATGCGACAGACTGCATACACAAAAAATCTTCTAATTTGCCAACTAACTTGTACAACGACACACCTTGACTCTCTCCCTCTCTCTCTCTCTCTCTCTCTCTCTCTCTCTCTCTCTCTCTCTCTCGCTCTTTCCCTCTCTCTCGCCCTCTCTCTCCCTCTCTCTCAAACGCGCACACACACACATACAAAGCAAAAGAAAAAAATGAACAACTCTCAAGGCAATAGAGAACAAGGAGGCTGTTAAATATTGACTTACGTAAAATCAAGCAGAAAATGAGCAAAAGAAGAGAAGAGGGTGAGGGGGAAAATGATTCACAGTAGGTACATGTTTACAAACAGATCTAACTGTATACACAATCATTATTTTATATTTTTGCTCTTTTTCGAGTAAACATATTTCAGACCTTTTAAATGTGTAACGTAGGACTACAAACTATGTTAATCTTGCTTATCTGATTCGAAAATTTCTCTCTTTAAGAAAGCAAAATCAGTTTACGAGACTACTTACGATGAATTAAAAAAAAATACTTCGACTATAAGTGGTAGTATCACATCAAAATTTTTCTATGTATATGCGAATTTGTGTTTTTTTCAAGTAATCAACAAGATGTAAAAACAATAGTCAGTCTTACGAATAGAGAAATTAAGAAAACTGATCGTCTTGTTTGAACTTGCCCTTCCAACATCATTATGAAAAATGTAGGTTTTTAATTCAATCTAAGTCAACTCGAGAACTTTATACTGAACGAAAGATTCTTTCTCTTCAATACCGAAGTTCGGTTCGTATGATCAGTTCCACTTTTACTTTTTAAATTAAATTATATCATACTCAGTTATTTATTATTTTGCTTCTCATGTAAAATTTATTGTTTGGGGTATCTCATATGTATACATTTCAACATTTTATATGGTATTGAATATAACAAGAGAGAGAGAGAGACAGAGAGAGAGAGAACTTCTGACACGAATGTGTATAAATGAGTGTTGTGCCGAAGTATACAACACAAACGTTTTTTATTATATAGACTACACAAGCACGTTTCCAGAGTAATATTGGCTAAAGATCGTATATATATATATACCTATGCGTCACGTCACACAGCGAATAGAGAAAGTCTATTTACTTTTCTTCTTCGTGTTCACCATCATCAACATCAAATAATTTTTGTCACGTAATAAAATATATATATATATACGTATTTATGAAAATAATAATTGATAAAAAAAAAAAAAGTTCTTTATAAATAAGAAATGATGGTGAATATTTACAACAAAAAAGAAAAAAATTGTTCAATATACTACATAATACGTATAACACTAAAAATCAAGGGAACTAATTCGTCTATTAATGTCTATACAAATGTGTTTTGAATAAATTTATGAATAGGCTAAAAGTTTGATTACATAATTGCAAATCAATTTCTTTACGCAATTATGATGAGAGAAAAATTAGTTTAATAATGTGAGAAGGAATTTCTTAACGATACTAGAAAAATCTGAGAAAAAAAAACAAATGACCTTTAAAACTCTTTTTTTTTTTCTCATAAAAATAATTTCTTGTATAAATGAAAAACTTCCATACTTTTTAACCTCAAAATCGAAATTCATTCTTGACAATTGATGGAGAGAAGTAGACAGTTAGTAAAAGAGAAATCGACTATTTTCTATTGCTTAAATTTTTTCTTCTCCTTTAGGGTTCTCCGGTATCAGTTATAATGTAATTGGATGATAAAAGCTTTTTTCTAGTGTTAAAAAAATAAAAATCAGAATCATTTATTGTATCTCTCTTTATAGCATATCCTAAAGGACATTCTAGCGTGTAACAATTGTTTTTCTTTTGTCAAAAATAAGATACTTTTGCACACATACATATCTTACAACCTATTCATTTTCATAAAGAAACACAAGAGAAAAAGAAGCATTGAAATGTTAAAAATTGATCTCGATTATGTTAATATGACGAACAAAGTATAGTTGTCCAGTGAAATTGAGCAAATAATGATCAATATCATCATGGACACCTATTTTAAGCTAGAAGGAAATTACATCTCAGATTAAAAGACAATACTTAACGTTCTGAACATGTTGTAAAATACACGTGGCTTACTTTTCGTTTTTAATATAAATTATAGTCTTTTATATAGAAAAATTAATATATAAAGAAATAGAAAAATCGACGATGTCAAGTACATATACACACATGCACACACATACGATTCCTTTACTACATGGAATAGAGTCAACAAGCTTTTTATTTAAAAAAAGGAGGAAAAAATATCTTTGGAAAGAATATATTTGACTTAACTATATTTAGACTGTAGAAGACGATATACTAAATTTAAAACTGAAGATAAATGACTGAGTTTCAAGGAAATACGTCTAGTCTTTTTATAATTACTCGGGATTCAAAGAATATCAGAAGTTATTTTAGTTGTCCTCATCACATACAAAAAAAAACGGTAACAGAAGAAAAATTTAAACTGTTAATTCAACAAAAAGTCAGATTAAATTACTCACGTCATACACGACATTATTATTACAACAACAGCTAAGAAAACAGATTAAAGAACATGATAAGGTGTTTTGGTATAACGTTTAACTGATGATCGTTGTGTCTTAACACCGAGCAAAGTTTAGATTAATAAGATTTATGTAGATTTAGTTCTGTTCCAGAATAAAACAGGCATAAAAAGAGAAAGTGTAACAATTGATACAAGACAATGTAGCTAACCTTAAAAGAGAAAGTGATTCGAATGAATTCATGTCATTTGTAACTGCAACACAATCAAAAACCTGTTTCTATCTTCGATAACTCTGTTATATTCTCTGTAGTTTAGTGTATGACACACAGTAATCATTTGGATTTTGTTCAGATTGTTTTCTCTTCAACTAAGAGAAATTTTTCACTTTTTTTTATTTCTTAAAGAAGATTTCTAAAACAAGAGAAATTTTTACATCTGATTTTACGAAAATTTCAGCAAACATGTCAAAGAATGCTTACAAAATAAATTTTTCGGTTCACTACCATTCTTGAAATTCGAGAAAACAAGAGGCAAAAACATACCTCGTATTACAAGAAACAAATTTCCATTACACGGTTTTTAATCAAAGTAAAGCTCACTCTCATCGAATGTAGAAAATGAACTCTTGACTTTTAGCTTGTTTTAAGTTTTTTTATCGAGGTTAAAAGTTAAAAATAGTGGAAATTCTTGAATAGCTTTCACAAAAACTGAGATTTGGAAAAAATTAGAGTCTTATTTAAAAATCGACTATCTACATTCGATACCGTTTTCTTTTCTCGTTAAAATTCGTTAATAACTACTTACTCAAGATAGTTTAGGAACATGCAGTAAATCATTCATAACTTGACGAATAAATGTCGCACTAATCTGTACAACGTCTCATTTTAAGAAAGATACTCCGCTCTACATGACGCTGTAGTTTTTCATAAAACTTGACTCACAGTGCTGCAAATTGTGAGGTCTTCTAAAATATCGTGTGCCTTTAAGAAGACTGAAAAACCTTCTTGAAAATATCTAAGAATTCACCTAAAGAGGCATTTACTCTGCATTCTGAAAGCAGATACAAGTACCCACTAAATCTGTCTTTATCTCGACGACCTACTTTTGATTGAATTTACGGTGGAAAATCCATCTTGAATGAGAAATAGTTATGATTTTCAAGAAGTCTGTGATAACTATAAGAAACTATGTATAAGAAAAATTAACGCAATTCACAAAAGAGGACTAAAAACAAACTCAGAAACTGGCTTCTTGATACTAAAATCTGCCTTCTAGTCGTGCGACTTTTTAAAATAAATATATGTCCATATCGATATATTGATCAAAAACTTTTTGAATGATAATAATTTTCAACAATATATATCACGTCTTCTTGACAAATAGACTGAAGACAGACAGAGTATAAAAAAATGTTAGAAATTTTATTTTCGTTTCGAAATATATTTTGAAGGGTGTGATTACTAACGTCTATACATCATGTCAGACAAATTTGATACTGTTCATATAAGTAAAATGGAGTCCAGCGAATATTTTTCTAAATCTTATTCGTATCTGAGGCTTCAATACTTTTTATCTTATTAAAGATCATAAGAATCTAATGGATTGAATTAGCATAAACTTCAAACGCTAATATTTTCTTGAAATATAAGAATTAGGACAATTCTATATTACTTCAAAATGCAATGTAGTTCTATATCAGTTTCCATTAAAAAAATTTCCAATATTGAACTAAGATCATGGAATTCTCATGCAACAAATTATTTTATGGATTTTACGGATTTATCGTACAAAGTGTTCAATCATCTAGAAAGAATACTGCTGTGTATTCATAAAGAAGAATCCTGGTTAAGTTTAAAGCTATTTATACTTATCATCATTCGATGTTGTGCTTGATAATACATCTGTTTGTAAAATATCTGTATTCCTCATAAGTATTCTTTTTTCTATAAATTTTGTAACTGATTTCTTTTGCTGATTAATACCACTGATGAGACAGACATTGTGTAGGTGATGGACACTGTGAGTAACACAGGTCTGTCATTTTCAACACATGTTAAGTTAACCATCAATAATTTCAAACCATGTTTAAATCGTAAGAAGATAATGGCTCACAAGAATCCGACAAATATGGAGGATCACTGCGAACAACTTCATAATTAAATTCTTGAATTTTTTCTTGATATTATTAAATTTGACCTACGTAACTGATTTCAAGACAAGAGATGCATTTGGATAATATAATCTAAACGAAAGACTCCTTTCATTATCTAAATACAGTTCTGTAACATATCTGAAAAACAGGACAGCAATTGTAGATCATAGTGATTTGAAAAAGAGATCTAATTCACTACTCGGACTCATCAAGTCTAAACAGAAAAAAGGTCGAATGATCGATTTTGTTAGAAATCTGAGAGATGAACTGAATTCACAAATCGGTAATTTATCGCTGAAAATCCACTTTACTAAGTAAACCATAAGAACCGGATTTAAAACTTCCTCCAAACAACCGCCCTATTATGTCTTATTCCAGGTTTAAAACCTGCCTGTCATAATACGCATTTTTCGACAACAAAGTCATGAATGTGAAAAGTTGAACATATACTTGTCAACACACGCTTAATTCATTCAATATGGCTTTTTTTTACCACTGAAAGAATTGTTAACTTCATAAAGGGTTACAAAATAGAGGATAACGGTGCTTAGTAAAGATTGTTAAATCGATTGGGTGCCGCTGAGCTAGAAAATTAGAACATGACAAAAACTCTCTAAAGTAAACGATGTTTGCGTTCTTTAGATTGCATAGTAACGAATGTGGAGGTGTCATATCACGTATTCATCGATTAAGCAACGCACTGTGAATTAGAGATTAATTTTCTCTAAAAAAACATTTTTTTTACTATATATACACTACATATGCTGTACAATGCATTGTTATGCATCACCTGACTATTAATTATCTCATAAACGAAAAATGATCAAGTATATGAAAATATACTCATATTTCTGGACTAATCAACAGAATAATGAAAGTACACGTAAGAAAAACAACATCAAATCGTTCATTTGCGCATTTCAAACATCTATTGATTGGCCAGCGATCAGGCATTACTGAGACTGGGTGGCTGACTCGATAGAAAGAACACAATGTGGCAAGAAGAGTTTTCGTGATGAAAAGTAATAAATCTCCCATTTCCATTTTTCACTTCAGAACGTTTGCATTGTTAATAGTTCATCTATTGAACGGTCTGTTCATAATTAAGTTCTGTATTGTATTTTAATCAAAATTCCTATCGTTACCATCTTTTAACCTTATTTTCATCTATATGAGAAAAATTCCTGTATCAACTTACATCGTCTTCATTTTCACAAAAACTTTGATCTACGTAGTGTCTTTCGTTAAGAATATATTTTATTGCCTAAAATGATGGATAGTTTACTTTATTCGTGTTCTGTTCACTTCATTTTTTGTTACGCTGATCCGAGACAGATAGTTAACGCTTGAACGTATATCGTGTGTATAAAATACGATTAGTTATGGTTAAATTATTTGCTTATAATTGTAAAAAAGAAAGATGAACGTGGAAGTAAATGATACAAAGAACAAAAAAAAGGCATCTGCTCTCTACTGTGTCGTGAATTTATTCACTGTTGTTCGAGCTCGTAAATATGCCGAATGTAACAATTTGTTAAACATCATTGAATTAAAATAAATGTTAAAACGTAAACTACATTTTGGAAGATAGTTTTTGAACTCATAATGTATTCATAATATTTGAACTAAAATTGAATAATTTTAATGGACATTCAATTAAGTTCTTTACTAGATGACATTCTCAGCTAATTTGTATAAGATTGAAAATTTTCAAGTAAATCACGCATATCTCTTTTCGAGAGTCATCTAATATATCTGATATAGACGGATAGAATGATAATCGCTTTATTTTGTAAGTGTATTAAAAAATTTGATAATATTCTATTTCTCTAAACTATTGTTCGGCAGGTAAATCAAGTCGTTGTAATAATATATCATACCGTTAAAAAATATCTTGATAAATAAAATTAATTCATCATACATATTCTTCTAAGCTTTAACTGCAATGAGGTTTCTATTGTTTAAATACGATTGAAAAGATTTGAACAACAAAAAAACCTAGCTGGAGAAATACACTACGACACCCTATGCACTGTGTTCTACTAGTTAACATGATTCATTACGAAAATAATTATCAATTAGCAGTGCTTAGATTCTGACAATCATTAAGCAATAGACGTTCACAAAACATTTGAACAGATAATCGTAGTTGGCAAACAGGAGCTTTCCATTAATCTCATACAAGAGTTAGTGCTATTTGGCAAACCACATTGAGAACTTGTAGAGTCTTCCAAACTCTATCTTTCAAATCTAACGAAAGTGCTCTGAGTATTATATATAACAAACTACTGTTATAGAAGACAAACAGCACATCAAACAACATTCAATCATAACTCACATGACCTCAAGACAAAACTTTTGATCAAGAACAACTGTTTGGTAAAATATATCACTTGTATAAGAAAAACATCTTTTAAGATGCTTTTGGGTATCTAATAAAACATCACAACAAAAATCTAGCTTATGCAACGAACAAGAAGAGTTTATTGAATAAACGCAAAAACGAGTTTCAGAAATAGCAACAAAAAAAAAATGCTCATAACTACCTAAAAAGGAAGGAAACAAAGAAAAACTTCATCATTTTCAGCGGCTACATAACAATACAGTTCTTTGGAATGAAAAACAACACGCGAAAAATAAAAGCAAAACAGTAACAGCAGCACAACAACAACAACAACACATAAACAGGGGTCGACATGAACATCACCTGTGGATAAATTTGAGTTTTCTAGTTTAAATACATATCACCAAAAAAGAAAAGAAAACATCAAACTATAAAATACAGATATGTACGCTTGTTTTTGAGTTCAAAAAGGAAAAAAAAAGGTGTTTTTTCATATGGCACACAACACACAGAGATAAAATGGTTAAAAGAAAAAAAGAAAAAAAACATTTGCAAAGCAAACGAATTGTTATTTTTGTCTTATCTTGTTATGTGATGTGTCTGATTATCTTTTTAAACACTGAAAAAAAAGAGAGGAGTTTTTCATCTTTTTGGAAGATCGTAGAACAAAATTAAACAAAAAAAACCAAGAACTCATATTAATAAACAAAAAGAGAGTAACATCATTCATTCCATGTTTTGTTTTTAAATGAGAACATGACTGCAAAGCCTAGCACAACATCATATCAAGACAAGGTTTTATTTTGACGAAAAAAAACTGTTAAAAAAAAGCGAAACGTGATTAGTTATATAATTTGAGCGTCCGTTATTACATATAGTGATTCTTAATTTCGATTCAGGATCAATTTCTTGATCGACACTAAAAAGAAAACATGTACAATGTCATACAATAAATACATACTTAGACTTTTTCAAGTTTTAGAATTTTTAGAAGCAGGTGATTTTTGTTTTTTCTTTGTTATTTTCACTCTGTTAGCATGTAACTCTTGATTCTAATAGAAAATCTACTAGGACTCTTTGTCATTTCACTTACTCTAATTTGTTTATGAATTGTTTTGTTGTTGTTTTTACTGTTGGTCATTGTGTATTTTATTCCCATCACGTCCCTCACCTTCACTGATAAAACGTTTACGTCCTTTATTTTGTTGCGATGCTATATCATGATTGACAATTTTTTTTCCTTCCAAATCTTTTAATAATGATTGTAATTGGTGATAAGCATTTGGCACATCTAATGCAATATCATCCATATCTTCAAATATACGCAGCATGCCCGTTTTTAATTGATCATATGTAATAACAACAGTTTTTGTTAAATTTTCTAATAAATTAATTGTAATGTTTTTTGCACGCTCATTATCTTTTTCTAGACAAAAATCAATTAATTCATAGACGAATTCATGGTTAAAGTGGGGTACATTCAATTCTTTTAAACAACGTATGGCTTCGAAAACATCACCACTATCATAATATTCATGAATAATTATATTCATTTTATCGGCTAATTCACGTACAGGTCGAAAACCACCTAAAACAAGAAAGAACAGGATAAGATTAAAAAAAATAGGTAAAAGAAAGTTACAAAACAACTATACCTAATTGTTCACCCCAAATATTGCTGAGAAAATAATAGTCATTCATCGTAACCAATGTTTCTGCTTTATCAAGTGACGATTGCATTTTTTCACATTTAACATTGCCTTTATATTTGAGGAAATATTTTCCATTAGCATTGTCAATACATTTATCAGCAATTAAACGTGCAATAAATTTACCTAAAAGCAAAAAAATAGATTTCTTCACTTCTTGTTCCTGAATCAAGAATCTTGATCATTCCGATTAAAACCACCCTACCAATGTCAGACGATGCATTAGGGTTATCCAGTGATAAATCGGTTAATGTTGTTAATAACTTATCAAGACTTGTTATATAATCATCGGGACGAAAGATTACACCAGCCAGATCATGTAACAAACGTGATATTAGTTCTTTATAAACATTAGATCGTTCGAGAGCCATTGTTGTAATGTAAACAATTAATTCTGCACCTTTTGTTTTGAAATCATATTTTCTTAGTGACTGAATAACATCATTAGCATCGCCATTTAGAAAATATTCTTCAATTAATGGTTTAACATCTTTATCAAAATCTTGAATTTGAAGAAGTTTCAATTTTGTTTCTAAACTTTGCTGTGATTTTGATATGTTTTCATTTGTTGATGGTTCAACCGTTCCTGCAGTTGATGCTGATGGATCTGAAATTATCTTAATATTTGGTTGCGTTGCAAAGTGTTGTCCGGTTGTATCCGTTGAACCAGCATCTGAAGATGAAATCGATTTTTCGCTATCATGAATTAATTTTACCTTGGCTTTGTTGTATTGAATATCTGCATCATATTCTTCGTCTGGAACGTTTACAAAATATTCACATAGTAGCGCGCCCGTTGATCAAACAAAATAGCACGACGGGTGATAAATCAAACTCACTTACCATAAAATTCTTCGTTGTCTTCCTCCAACAGCTCACTTCCAGGAGCACCCCAAGTGAATTGTCCTCCACCACCGCCCTTCTTTGCCAGACCACGACCTTTTCCTCAAAACAAGAGAAAATTTCAGTCTTTTATGATAAAATTTTGTGTTCTAAAGATTACCTTGTCTTGATTTTCGATTATACTTCTTCGTTATTCTTGCATTGGTATGCAATAAATGTCCACTTTGATCGACTGGGGAGCTGGGACCACCTGTCACATTTGTACCAGAACTGCGTCTTACTTGCACTCGTTTGCGATCCGATGTTGCTGAACTAGCATCGCCAGCGTTCCCTTTATTTTCATCGTCGGCTGCATTTGAAGGTTTTCGACTTAGTTCAGCAATAAGATGTTCTACTTCAGCTTTTTCATTGGCTGATGTCATGGTTATGGCACAATAAGGAAAAAGAAAAAATGAAGGATCGAATGAAACTATGTTTCGAAACAGGATAGATAAGAAATAATCTCTGAATGTTGCGGCAATTCCTCTATTGTCTAATCTAATCTAAAGTTATGAACAAGACAAAAAGAAATTATTCACTCTATTTTAATATAAAAGTTGACGGATAAATAGTGCACTTCATCTCCTCTTAGAAACTTATTTTGACAGAATTGTTAGCTACGAAGTCTATGGTCGAGGCGAACTGCTTCTAAATGATTGTTTGTTCTGCTACTACAAAATTCGGCAAAATTTTAACGAACTTTGTGGCATCCTCTTCCTCATAACTTCCAATAGGACACACTAGAAACTTGAGAAATTAGAAAAGCTTTCACTCTCCATACGACGGTTATTATTTTTACTGTTCAAAACCTTGCGGAATTTTTAATCTGTTATCACAAAACTCTCAAGAAGCACACGTAAATTCCAAAGAAAAAGATAGGTAGTGAATACGCTAAACTTTTGCGTCTAACTTAGGTCAACCTCGTGTAGGAAACAATTTTATTTACATAATAAAATAAGTACAAATACATAAATGAAACGAACACGATTTTATTCGGTTAAAAAGTCACCTATCAGTAAACACTCTATAGTAAAACAATACTATATTTTATTAAAATGTATAGTACACGAGTGATCTCATTGCTGGAAATATTATTCATACCGTTTTAGTCAGAGATGCATTTAGAACTATAGACAGTACACTGGCAACCACAGCATGTAGCGCTTCAATACGAGTCGTTTTTAGTGCGGGTAGGTCATATTTCACGTAACATAAATAAAAACTGTTTTTCAAGTCTAAGGCCTCTGTGAACGAAGTGAAAGTCTATTGATAGATCTTGTCTAAGAGCAAAAAGCTATAAGTGAGAAAAAAAGGATTTAAGCGAACAATATTCCCTTTATCCAAGTCGACTTGAATGAATATAATTTTTATATAATGATAAAAATCGGTAGTCGAAACAATAGTGAGCCGCAAAAATAGATCGAATTAATTATGAGTTATAGACATTGAAAAATCTGTCAAAAAAAGGTTTCAAACAGGTCTGTTAATAAATCTACGCGAAAAAAATTACGTACTTGGAAAAGTAACGCTGATGCGTTGATTAGAACGAGTAATTATAATACATACAATACATATCTAATAGTACTAGTGAACGTTGAATTCTTCACACTAATTGATCGTGGTCAAGTTTTCAAAGTGATTCTTTAAAGTGCTAACTATCAGAAGAAGAGAAATTGTCCACTCTCATCACATAAATCTTACAAGAATTCCGAGAAAGCTGAATACGTACGAGCAGATCTCACGCAGTAAGCGTGATAACCAGTGTATTCATGTGCTTAATACCGACGGTTACCACACGCTTACTGGTATACCGGCGATAATCACGTATGTCACTGTATACCGTCGGTATAACCAGCAGTACCGTCTGGTATTTTGTCATTATGAACATGTAGAACAGGAGTTCGAAACTAATTTTCAACTTTGTTTTTTTTTATTGTTGAGCACTAGGGATGTTCGGTTCTCGAGTTAGGACCGAAACAAAAGAAACCGCGGTTTCCGATTCCGAACTTAGAACAGAACTGCGGTTCTCGGTTCTCAGCTTAGAACCGGAAAATAATTTTTCAGGCAGTAGCAGTTCAACAAAACAGAATTCATTTTATAGTAAACGAAAGGATTCGTTGAAATAATGACAGGCAAATATATCTTTTTGTAGCTTTGTCAATAGTGTGTTTTCATCGTGTTAAAAGAAATGCAAGTCAAAAAGTCTCGGTTCCGAAAAAAGGGAACTGTCTAAGAAACCGCGGTTCCAGTTCCCGATGAAGAACCAGAAATAGGAGAACCGCGGTTTCGGTTCCTCATACGGGACCGAAACGCGGTTCTGGTTCTTCACAAGAACCGAACATTCCTATTTAGCACTTGTAAGCGCAGGCTCTCGATTGAGAGAAATTTGACTCGAGTCGAAGTTCAAACTTCGACGAGCTTATATGATCTAAAAGAAAAGTTTAATCTGAAGAAGAAATCAAGTTTCTGTTATTTTTCTGTGTTTCTTTTATATCTTCATGATACAATGGTGAACGGATAAAAACGGTTACCGTGCGGTATTTTCTTACACCGCAATCTAATAAGTTACCGTCGATTAAACCCGCGGTATACAGACGATATTTTGTTGGACCGGTGATATTTTGAAAAAAGTCATCTTCGCGGTATTATCTCAACTTTTTCGTAACTTCAAGATCATTGACTTTCACTTTGTTTACAGTGGCGTCCAGAGCTGGAACCGGTTGAGAAAAGATAAACCGATTCGGTCCGGCCGGTAAACGGGCCGGTTGGAACTATAACTTAAACCGGCGAAAAGCGGTAAAATACCGCTGAAAATCTGGCAAAGTTTTTTGAAAAACGATTCTCAGGAAGAATTTCCCCCACAAATGAAGTAGTTTGCGAGCACATGTGAGAGAACCTTCACAATAACGAGTCTATAATATTTAACATTAAAACAAGTGATGAAAATATTATCTGTCTTGAGCATCGTCTTATTTATTCTGACTGAAAAAGACATGAAATTTTAGTTTTTTTGAGGAAAAACAGGGTAAAAAGAGCAGATGTTTCAAAACTTTCAATCGGTACCGGTTTACCGGACCGATTCCTGGTGGCGTTAGATCTGGAACCTACCTCTGTTATATGAAATACGATCCATTCACACCAGAATTATCTTGTATTAAACTTCTACATATTGAATTTGCCAATATACTTTTCTTATCAACGAGAGTATGCTTTTATTAGTATTTTTCTTAGTTACTGTGATCAGCATCAATATTTAAGTTAGTGCATTGTACTCATAAAATCTAATAGCTATATTTGTAGACGAATATTCGCTTTTGTTCAGAAAAACCGAGTAACTGACGGTGACTACTCTCTAAAAAATAATGTGTTTTGTACGATGTGTCTGCCGTATAATGCGTGCGTCTTACAAGTGCCTCCAATGTGTCCTGGACACAAAAATGTCTTAATGTGTCTGCAACTAAGAAAAAATGAAGACACTTTTAACAGCAAGACGCTTTATACTAAAATCCTGATTAGTTACATTTTATTATTATAAAGCATTTTCGGTATTAATTCTACCCTTATACTACAAAAAGTCTGAAAAAGGTGACGTTACACTAAATATCATTTTTCAATATGCACTCAAATTTGCTTAAATACACTCCACCAAAAGAGTTCTTTATGTACTCAAAATATAATTTATATGACCTACTTTCCTTCTCTTTTCATGAGGTGTCAGAAATTCAAATTTGTTCTAAATTTTACGTATCAAGATTTTTTTGTTCGTGAAAGCCTGGATAAAATTGCACAATATAAGAAAAACAGATTTTTCAATTTCGACTTTGTTTCAGAGAAAACTGCAGATTTTGGGTTTACAACAGTTAATAATTTTGGGCTTTCAACCCGAAATGTTCGTAGATGATAGCCAAACATTTTTGTCATAACCTGTTCACATTATGAACTTTAGTTCTTAAAAGTTTCGTTCAAATCCATTAGAAACAAAATTTGTAGAGCGGGAGCGGGTCCTTAAATCAACGCACCACTCTGTTAAAAAGAGTTTTGTCAACGAAACGACTCCCCATCAGAGAAAAGTCATTTAATGAATGAATGTTCTTCGAGTACGAAAAAACATCTAGTCAAGAGAAAATTAAGTTTTGGAGAACTATAGGCTTCTGGATAGCTACAATAGCAAAACAAGTTTTTTATGTCGACAGACATTATGCAGTTGATCGGGTTTTTTACTTTCTTTTTTTTTTTGTTTAGTCACATTTTTTGGAAAATGACGCAATGATGTAGAGAGCTTCTGGAAATGGGAAATGGTCCTCCAGGTACTGAAGATTATGACTATGAGCGTTCTTTTTCCAAAATCTGCTCTGGGTCGGGCGCCAAAGAATGCAAAAGTGGAAGAAATTTGTCCTTTTGGCATAGAAATGTTTCATATATTCATTAACAGCTTGTTGTCAGGCGTCCCTAATAACAAGCACCTGACTCAGGCGCCATTTGATCACGGGTTATTCAGATACAGTTTATCTATGAATATGTGATTGATATTATAAATGAGTCATTGCGATTGCTAGACATCCTGATTTCGTATTTTAATGTTGACTGTCGTTAAATTATGAATTCGCATTGAAAAACGATATTAATAATTTAACGTTTTCGTCAATTACCGAAAAATACAGTGTGTGTCGACATTGCAACTTGTGCGCAGCACAATTGTAATCTAATTTATTCTCATTTATTGAATTCAAAGACAAATAAATAGCCAAAGATTTGAATGCATTATTGCTATGTCGCTGTTGTCCAATGAGTAAAATATTAGCTATATACGCCTAGACCTATGCACTGCGGATGGATAATTAGAATTTCTTCCCAGGATGAACAATCGTATATCAAGATTTCAGATTTCAGGGCAGGCATCGCTAGCCAGTCTTTTTCTATGGGGTAGTCCGAATATGCAGAATCGACTTAATCGGACTTACTTTCTACTAGAAAATGCACGATACTTGTGTATACATATATATTTTTATTATTATACTGAATGAGTTTTATAAAAACAACCTTAAAAGAGCAGCTGTATAAAAAGTAAATAAGATCAATAACAACAATAAGTGTATGCACCTGTAATAATTACATAAAAGATAAACATTGTATACTTCTTTAAAAAATGGTATGATCATTTCTGGTTTATTCTAACTATTTTACATTAGACAAAGATGAGCAATCGTTATATACCTCGCCCTCCCCCTCCCAGTTACTTAGCTTAATCTAAAAATAATATTCTTTCAAACGAACTGCAAAAAGTGCTTACCTTCTCCAATTCTTAAACTGACATATTTTAATGAAAATTTTCAAAAGCAAAATACATGATATTAATTCCTAGATAAATACCAGATAATGTAGGAATAAGAAAGTGAAAAAAACTTCATCCATATTTCAAAGTGAAGAAAAAATATTTTTTCTAGCAATTTTTCTGCTATTGCACTTGAACAGCATGACACAATGAACAGAATAATTGCCGCTTCGTTATAGTGAGAAAAAAAAATACTGACAATATCATTACATAAATTAATACAAAGAAAAAAGCACCCTATACAAAAACTCGTCAACATGCGTTCCAGTTGTGACTGTTACAGACACAACAACAACTGAATTAATGCGCACTTTCGCGTCGTCTCTTTTTCTCTCGTCCGTTTCTAACGAAAAAACATAAAGAAACAATCGAAAATGGGTTACATTCTTCTATTTCGTTGCATATACATCGTCAAAAAACCAGTTCAAATTCTATCATAGGTACGTTCTAATGAAAAATCGTAATGATATTTTTGTTCTATTTGATTCAGATCTAATATTTGCAACGAATCAAGCCATGATAAATCATTTGTTGAAGAATTAGTATTGTGTTTATTTGATTTTAGGTATTTTGGATTTATTAAAAATGGAATACCTTCAATGGCTGAATTTTCTTGTGCATGTCGTTGCATAGTTGCTGATTCATAAAAATTTTGTTGTTGATCAGGATAATTAATTGCAGTTTGTGCAGGTGGATCAGGTGCTTGTCTCATCGGTGGCACAGTACCTTCTTTAATACACATTGTTAATCCATTTATTTCGCCAATCATTGTATACAATTGTGGTGGACGTTTTGTACGATAAAGAAATATAATATCATTGATGGATTTCATTCCAGCTTGACGCGCAACCATTTTAACAACTATCGCACGTTTTGTTGTGCCTTTTTCTCGGGTATCAGCGGTAAAAGATAAGCTTTGATAATTAGGTGGACTAAAATAAAGTCGAAATATGAGCGTTCAGATTGTGGCTGTTTTCGATCATGCACTTACGGTGAATCACGTTCATTAATTAATTTAATATCTTCTAACACTTGAGAGATATTATCAGCTAATGGAAAGGCACGCGTTATACATAAAAAACGATCTTTTCGTTCAAGTAATGAATCGGCCATTAAGTCAGCATCTCGTTGTTGATCATCATGTGCTAAATAAAGAAAACATTGAGACCATGCTGTTACTTTTTAGTAGAATTCTAAGTGCACGATATTTCTGTCAAAAGAGGATAGGCTCAGTTGTGTAGAGAATCTCGAATCACTTACTTTTTCTGATACAATGGTAGCCCGTGGGCACATTTGCAGATTTTGATACAAGACAAATGCCTGTTATGGGTAAACTCTGATTGTTCATTGGAGGCAATGATGACGTTGTTGAATTATTGCTGCTATCAATGGTGTCACTATAGTTATTAGTGAAAAGCGTCGAAGTAACAGTGGTGGGAAGAGAAAATAAAAAATTTGATATAGCTGCCGCCAATGTTGCAGTTAAATAATTCAATTTATACGTAATGAATTTTATAATAACTCAATTTATATCTACAATAAAAAGAGATATAATCGAACGACATAATCTAAATTTTAAAAGTTCTGAGCACCAAATAATGATAATAACAACATTTTCTGTGTAATTTTAGTTCTTAGTTTCGATTTACATGTTTGCTTGAAAAACAGTAAAATTTAGCTAATGACTATAAAATTTCTTGCATGGAAAATATCTAGGTAAACAGTCGCATCTGACAAAAACGAGTCATAGCCACAACAGCTATGATTCAAGCTATAGACAGTTTGTTATTTAACCACCATTTCCTACAGTGATTGCTTCGTCAACTTTTAACAAGTGATTTATAAACATTTTCATATTCGACTGCGCTCGAATTCCAACTAAAATCGATTTTCATCCCACGTCTTACTATGGGCCACCAGTTTATTGTTTTATTTCCATTCAGTCTTGTTACAGCACGTTTTATTATTGATAATAAGTCATCAGATGAATAAGGCTCAAAAACAAAGCCATTACCATTAGTCTCGTAATCTATATCTTTGATTGTATCTTTTAGACCGCCTGTCTGTCTTACTAAAGGTAAACTACCATAACGTAACGCAATCATTTGGCCCAAACCACATGGTTCAAATTTGGATGGCATCAGGAATATATCACAACCACCGTAAATACATTGTGCTAATTTTATATTAAAATCATTGACATACCGAAAACTTTTGGGATATTTTTGATTGTGAGTTTTTAATATTTCTTCAAATTGTTCTTCTCCATTGCCTAGGATAACTAATTGTGCACCCAAATCAATGATATCTGGTAAAATACTGATAACTAAATCAATTCCTTTTTGCTTCACTAATCGTGTTACCATACCGAACAATGGTTTATCATTTGTTATTTCAAGTTCTAAATCAGATTGTAACTGTTTTTTGCACATCAATTTTCCTATATCAACATTTGTTTCATCGTATTTTTCTACTAAATATTTATCAGTTGCTGGATTAAAAAAATCAACATCGATACCATTCAAGATTCCAATTATTTTACGATCGATTTGTTTTGAAATATCATTGGCATACGTTGAAGAAACAGCAACCACTGCATCGCTACTCTTAATACCGTCCATTAACCAATTTCTGTTTCCATCTTTGCTTAATCCTTGATATTCAAAATTGTGAATAGTTAATAGAACTTTACTGTTTTGAAAATATTTGTCGTTTTGCTTATAAACAGCTATATTACATGAATGCCAATCGTTTATATGAAATATATCCGGTTGAAATTCTAATTCAATTAATAATTTTAATGTAGATTTTCCAAAGACTTCAAAGCGTAATAGATCAAATTCAGGTTGTTTTGGAAAATAAATATTCATTGATTTTTCATATAGTTCGTAGTTATGAATAAAATAGACCAAGACATTATCCGCTAGACGAGTTTTTAAAATATTGATAGAATATGTGACATGATTATGCTCAATATTGAAATTGATTTCTGTCTTTTCAATCGGTAAAGCATCGGATACATTTATTCTAATACAGCCATAAAAGGGAATGCATACTATTACTTCATGGTTCAACGAAGCCACTGCTTTGGGTAAACAAGAAACAACGTCTGCAAGTCCCCCAACTTTAGCGAATGGGGCCATCTCAGAAGAACAAAATACAATTTTCATTTTGGTTATTTTCTACAAGAAAAACGTTTCCTTCACATTCTTCATTGCATCTTGTACTCAGAAAAAAACAATGTGAAGAAGAATTTTCTTCTTCCATGCTTTCTACACAACACAAAAGATTTTTTAAATATTTGTCAATAGTTAAGTTACCAGAAGAGTCTTCATGTTGCCTATATCCGATAGTCTGCTGTTGTTTACATTCAAAAAAAGACAAATGTATTTTATCCAAAAGTGTACTTGGTCCCACTGTTTTTTAGGAATACTAAAGTATTAAATGTTTCTCTTGTTCATTCTACTATTTCCATTGTGTAATCTTACTGATCTACTATCATTCCAAGAATGTTTCAGACACTGAAGTTTTGTTTATCGCTAACAACGGTTGCAAAGTATTTTTCAAAAAAATTCGCCTGTCTCTCATAACTCAAACAAAAACAAATCCAGCAAAACTAAGTCTCTTCACTCGATAAAGCTTTATGTTAAAAGGGACGAACAAACTCAGCAAATTTAATTTCTATTCTAGTTAATTATAGATGCACGTTTTATTCACTAGAATGCCATGACCAAGTAAAGTTCGTATGTGACTAATTCCAATACAGTTCCCGAAGTAAGTGACGCATGCTATACTGGGAGAGACAAATTAGCTGACTGTCCAATCTATCTTCTTATTGTAAAATTAAATAGAAAATAAAATGTAGAACTTGAGCTAAGATGGTATCAAGAATCTAAATTCATTTCGCCTATATTACGATCATGTAAAAAGTGAAGTCCTTTGTTATTTAGCTATGGCGAAAATATACGAATCACTGCACAGAAATAAGGTAAAGGTCGTCTGCACTCGCTGGATTCCTTGACTTTAGAAACTTATATCTGCGAATGATCTTACATGACTTTGAATCCAAGACAATGCTCACGTGTCACTTCTGTCAGCGTGTGCAGCCAGGATACATGACAAACATTGTGAACTTCTGTGATTCCACGGAAAAGAGCCGAATCAAATGTAATATAAAGCTTAAACGTTTTCCGGCCACCTTCTGAAGATTTCAAGGGGCTGGAAGTATTTCTAATCGCTTAGCTATCATCAATTATCTATATTCTATAAGTTTATTATCCGTAGATAACTTTTTTTGTGTTATCAAATTTAGATTAATTTCTAGCGACATCTTTCACAGGGGTACAGAAAAAGTTTACTTAGCTTTTTTTCTCTCTGCACCAACAGATATTTCAGGTCATCTCTCTCCTGATTAAAAAATTTCTCGAAAAATCTAAGATAAGTCGGACTTAAGTAAAACTTAAGTTTTCGTTTAAATGCGTTTCACAAACAACAACTTAAGTCTGAGTTAGCAGTTAAACAAAACATTTGACTTAAGTTAACCAAAAACCAAGAAGTACATAGCCTTGCTATATTTAGCTAGTAATAGCAAGGAAGTTTTAAGGAAAACCATTGCTTATAATGAATTGCAAAATAATGCATGAACCTCTTTTGTGGTTATTTGACTACTTTTTGAAAAAAAGAGAATTAAAGAGACTTTTCGAAGAATATCAAGTCATATTTGGTCATAAGAAGATGATCCGTACTAGCCTTGGCTTTTGCCACATGCAGCTCTCAATTTCGGCACAGATAAACAGTGCAATAGCTCAGGCTTTCGCTTTTTTACCTGAACGAGAGTAGCAAGATTTCGATATTTGACTAAAATACGAGCGAGATGACAATTTACTCGGAAAAAATGAGTGCTAATCATCTCACGCTAACTTATACCTTCAAAGTACAAGAACAACTGAGCTTGCTTTAATCACAACGATGCTTAAATAACCTGACGTAAGGCGTTGCTGACGCTTTCCGCAACTGTAATGCGTCACGTTACAACACGATCAATTTTGAAAAAATGTCTTTGTGTTATAACACATTGTCGTAACGTGTTATGCGAAAAAAAAGGCTAAAAAACTGAAATTATAGTGCTATAATGCGTTTTTGTCGACTTTCTTGTATTTTTATAATTTTACAATAGTATTAATTCGGTCAACACGGTAATATTTGTATACCATCATAGTTTATTGTTATACCATCATAGTTATTATATTCCTGTCGCATTAACACATAAGCAACACACCAAGAAACGTTTAACGCGTTATGATTTTTTGGAAAACTCCTCTTTTGTTGTAATATATTAGTTTTCAATGAATTGCAATGCTGTACACATTATATAAAGCGTTATAACATATAAGTAACCAAAAACGATTTTTATCTCGGGATCAAATACGACCCCTAGTGAATGTACTTGGTATGATTACTTGATGAGTATTTGGAAACTATGGGACAAGTTAAGCACTTGGCAATTACTTGAGCAAGCACCTATCAAGTGTCGTTATTTGACTTGCGTCAGCCAACCACTTGGACGAGTCAGTCACTCTTTTCTTTTGTATTGACCATCGGTATAAAAACACCACAATATTAATCGTTATACATTTATAAAATAAACTTATATATTTCTACTGAGTTGAACGAACTTAGTAGCCGTGCATGTATTTGCTCTACAAAAGTAAAGTATAGCTCCAGAATATGTATAAAATACAAAATAAAAATAAATGGAACAAGTACTTGATCCAACTTTTTCAAGTAAACTTACTTGCATTAGGTCAGCCAAATACTTACATTTTACTTGGCAAGTACTTTCTCAAGTACTTGACAAATAAATTTACTTGGAAACGTCCACAAGTACTGCCTTCATTACTGAACCCAAGTACTTGTGCAAGTATTTGGCTCAAGTACATTCACTAGGAATATGGCTAAAACCATTCAATACGCTAGTTTATAACGCATTATATGGAAGTAAAAAACTGAAATGAATAGTGAATTAGAATCTAACGTGTTATATGTCTTTAGATAAATCGTATGGAGTTATAACAAGATAAAAAGAATTGAAACGCATTATAATGCTATAAGTTTATCGAGTTTTAATGCTGTGGAAATTGGTACCTAATTACGATTTGTGAAAAATAACTTTGTAAGGCGTTATAACGTGTTAGACTACGTCTTTCGAGTTTTAATGAGATATTATCAAAAAAAGCATATATTATAGTGTTATAACAAGAAAAATAGTTCCGAAAATAAAAAAATCGATCATAATCACTGTGAGGACTGACAAAATTCAGTTGCATGAAAAAGTATAATCAATCACAAATGTGTGGGACTCAAATGCATTGGATAGAAAGCTCGGATATGGTCAGAAAATATTAAATGCTGTATTGAAAACAGTCAAATCTTTCGGACAAACACGAGATCGATGATGACACTATATTGAGTACCTTAAAATAGTGACATGTGATAGCATCATCAAAGACTTCTCTCATTATGGGCTAATTGTCAGAAAAATTTGACACTTTAATCAAAATATTTCATTGTTTCGGTTTTTAATTGAAATTTCCATCCAGTGAATTTAAGTTCCACACATTAAAAAAGAGATGGCGCTTATTTGCCTTCGATTGTATGAGTCATCAGTTGTCATACCAGAGATTAAATGTATCTAAACGTTTGAAAAATTTTCCTTGTCCTCGTTTTTCTTTATTACTTGTTTAATGGCGGCTGTCTTTTGATTTTTACCGTTTTTACTAGCGGCCGCTCGTACCTTTTAACCAGAAATTGTTTTTTCCCAGCAGAACTCTTTTAGAATGATTTGTTTCTATGACGATTGCATGTATCTCGCACTTTTATCGTATACCGCACGTACCAAAGAATAATTCTGGATTCGCCACTGGCCAGCGTTAACTTTTTCTTCTCTGATGCTTTGGCGTTATGACGACCACGACGAGTTGTGCGACCTCTCTGATGTTCTTACTCGAATCAGGAATGCAGTTGCTCCGAAAATAAAAAGTAGTTTATTAGACATCGTGTTTAAACCGTTCTTTTAAAAACACTACGGACGCATGTACCAGCCGAAATTTTAGTCGAAGAACATTACGTAGTTGATGCCGACACGTGAGAAGAGAATAGAACAACTAGCAAATTATATTACTTGGTAAACTGTAGTATTCGTTGCACGCTCTTCGAAAAATAAAAAACATAAGAAACAAAGCCAATCAGTTAGACTAGGCATGCAATTCAGAATTTATTTGTGTAGCTCTTGTTTACGTCTCTTTCAGCCAAATTTTGCACACACTCCTTCTGTTTTTGTGATAAGAGTACAGTTTCTGTAGGTTTGTCTCGTTAAATTTGACTAAACGTTTTCTTGAGAATATCGTTTTTGCTTGTATGGACAAAGTATGAGTTAGAATCGTTTCTTGAACTGGGCAAAGGCGAATTAAAGCAAAATTAATTCTTTATTTGTTTTTTGTCGCGTAGTACATATACATGAGAAATTGTATGAAGTCGAAACGGTTGTTTTGAAAAGAATACAAATCAATTTTGTAAGAATTAGTTTTAACTTACGCTTTTTCGTCGTGTAAGAGAGATTGAATGAAGCTGAATAAAAACAATTAGCAATACTATGTGAGAGTTTGCGGGATGGTGATAAATCTAATGGTTTGAACTTATGATGAGTGTCCTCAGTTCTTTGTATAATTTCTAGTTCGTTATCATAATAGAAAAAGTGATAAAGAAGACTAATATATCCTTACATTGTTTACTGGTTCAACTGCATGATCAATAAATTTTTTGACAATTCTCTTTACACGGCTAGATACATGTACGATTGAAAGTGACATTGCATAGATCTATGGTGCATTTTTAACTATTCATTCCGAAGCTTAAACTTTCGCGTTTGGCCGTGAGATTTTCTCTGATTAGCTCAATAATAAGTACCTTTTGGCTCTTAAGATCTGTGTAATCTTTACGTTTTTTAATTTGAATAAAAAAGAAGCGCCAAAAATTTAGATTGTAAGAGCAAAATCAATCGAAACGATGTTAGTATTATCGGGGCTTTAGTAGAAATAAAGTCTATTGCAATGAAAATTACTCTCTAGCCCTAAAACAAAAACCATGAGAATACATTTCCTTGGACTACCAACACAACCTTTCTACTATCATCGTAGTGTTCTAGGAGTCTCGGTAAGTGTATTGGTTCGCGGTAAATCTTTTGGGATTCTAAAGCGATACTATTATCGAAGGCATTAGCTAATTAGACTGTTTTTTCTGCGAGATAATTTACACTTTGCTGCTGCAAGAAAGCAACTATTTCATATTTGTAGATTCAAAATTTTTGGTATGTTTAACTGTGTTTTTATTAACGTATTTACGATTCATACTATTATTAAATTAATAACTGTCCAATACTGAATGGGACATTAGCTTCTATGAATACGTTTGCCTTCATTTTGTATAACTAGGTAGATATTCAGTCATAAGACTCCGGTGAAGAATACATCTTTTGAATGTGTCAGTTTGTTTAACTTTTATTGAGAAGAGCTAAGTTCCATCAACTAAAATATTCCAATGATTGTAAGATCGTTTGCGACTTTTATCAACATTAACATTTTCAATTCTTGTTCTTAATACGTCGTCTCCATCGTTCTGCGTTCGTCCAAGAAATTTTTATCTTCTCACCTTTTTCTCTCTTTAGCTGTTTTCGTTAATTTTAATCACAGACAAAAACTGATTATTTCTTGCATATGATTTTTGCTTTTATGTAGCACAGGTTATTTTGCAAAGGGGGCTCGATCTCTGGAGAGTGGAATAAACTTTGTTTTGCGTAATATACTCGAAGATTCACCAGCTGTGTATCTGACAGTTTATTTCTTATTTTGAATCAGCGAAGCCGTTTTTTGTTTTATAATAATTCCATCAGAGTTATCTTATTATTCGCTTTCTCTCATGATTTTTTGTATATTTAAATGTCTGGGAAAATCCATTCTTATTTTGTCATAGTGATTTGAATATTCCTTTTTTATCGTACGCTTTTTTTGATTTTTAGATTGCAAGAATGTCGTATAGAAATAATAATAATAACGAAAACCTTGATGATGATCGTGAACCACAACCGCAATATAGTTCACGTATTGTTTACAGGTATGTATAAAGTTTTCTTTCGTGATGGTACTAAAAAAGTTATTTAGTTCTTGCTTTTTTCAGTACAAGTCGAAAACGTTATGATGTAAATCGAGATGATAATCGTAATAACGAAGATGAACAACATTCAGGCGACAATCACTCAGGTAGTACTAGACATATTGCTTTAGGAATGTGGAAAATTTATTTAATGTGCTTAATTTAGAGGATGATCATAATAACTATGAACACAACGATGATAATGATGATGGACTAAATCGTGGACGAGGTGCGTTTCTACATAGGACATACGTATACAGTTTACTTTAAACAATCTATATTCCTAATTTCAGGTCGAGGACGTTTTCGCGGACGAGGTAGAGGTAAATTATAGAATATATCAGTGTCTGGAGGTTTATTCTTATTTATGTTTTTAGGGAGAGGGCGATTTCGGGGAAGATTTCGTGGTATGCCAATGTTTGGAAATCCTTATCATTCATTTCCACCGTATAATAATTATATGAATGTTCCAAGTGGTAATAGTTATAATGATTATCCACCAACATATCGGTATAATTCAAATTATGGTGCTCCATATTCGTCATTTAATGATTATCCTCCATCTTATTATGGCTCTGGATATCGATCTGGCTATGGTTATAATATGGGAAATCAATATGGCTATAGTCGACCATTTTTTCGCGGTAACATTGAATGGCAAATTTTTTGTGAAGTGTGATATTTCATTTCCAGTTCAATTTTAGGTCGAGGACGCCGCGCAGGATTTCGAGGGCGTTCACGTGGTCGTGGAAATAATAACAAGTAAGTGTTTCTCTGACACTTTTATTTCTTGAAATTGTGTATTCTTCAGATGAATATCTTACGTTGCTTTTTCTACTCGATTACAGCCGTGACACCGATAATGAAAATGGAAATGAACGCGCCGATAATGATCGTAGAAGACGTCGACCAGGCGATGATGGTGAAGACCAAGGAGACAATGCTGATCAAGAACAAGATAATCAACAAGATGGAAATAATACAAACAATGCGGGTACTAGACAAAGACGTCGAAATCCTAGAAGAAGAAGAAATCGTTCACGTCGTAATACAAATGCGTCACAAGGTGGAGACGCAACTAGCGGCAAAGAAAATGATGATACAAGTACGAGAAACAAAGCAACAAATACACCAGATCAGTAGCATGCCTGAGACTTGTTTTATGACATATTTTTGTTATCAGGAACATAACACATCTATATCTAAAATCTGTGCAACCAATCATTACAATTTTGTACGAAGAGTTAAGACGTCTTATAGTACTTTAGAATCGATCGTGCTATCCAAATTTTTTTTGCTCTAAATTTCTATTTAATACTCCAATTTTCTAGTAGTTCCACGCTTTTAGTACAAGAAAAAAAGCAAATTTTATATATACTCTGTGAATACTGCATAACCTTTAGATTGATTGTCTTTTTGTGATAGCCAGTAAAGTTCCACACAGAAAATTTCAGTTAGCAACAGCTTTCCTGCATAATATTGCGTTCAAGGCGAAAAAAGAGCTTAAACGGGGCCAGCCATCTCTGAGAAGCTAGTATTATTACGTGTCTTTTTAGACTACTTTTTTCCTATTTCAGCACCACCGACACATTTAAATGATGCCCAAATTGTGAAATCGGTTGTTCGTGGTATGGTTAATAAAGTATCAAAGAGAGTTCGTCGACGAAGTCAGCGTCATAGTGGTACACAAAATGACAAAGATCAGACTGCAACAGATGGTGAACAGGCGAACGAAAATTCCAAGGATACAGTTAATCAACGTGATGGACGCGGTGGAAGGGGACGCGGGGAATTTCGGTAATTGATTCTTCTAAAACTTTGAAATTTTTTTCAACCATTTTCTCACTTTTAGAGGTGGATTTCGAGGTGGTTTCCGTGGTAGAGGAGGTAAAAAGATTCTTTATGTTTAAGTTTATGATGCTCGATATCCCATTTATGTTGACATTCCTTGACTTTTTTACGTTTCTTATAAAACTAAGTATATTTAATATAATTGAAAAACATTTAAATTCACAGTCATATTAGCCTGCTGATGACACTGTGAAGTATCGAAAGCTCGCTTTTTGTGTAAAATGATTTTACAAAAATGTTTTTCAATTATATTAAATATACTTAATCCCATTTATGAGCGACTAAGCAAAAATTATTTATTTTCTGTAGGTTATTATAACTATTATAATGCATATTATGGTGGTTATCGTGGTTTTCGAGGTGGAAGACGAGGTAGGCAATGAGAAAAAGCAGTTTAATCATGTTTCTTAATTCAAATTTATTTTGTTCAGGAAGAAATAGAGGTCGTGGACGCGGTGGAAATCAACATGATGACAGTAACAATGGTAGGTTATTATCCGATTATTGGCTGACTTACTGTAGTTGAAAGTATGTCAGTAGCGTGCGAAAGATTTGCAATACACCAGGCTCACTGGAACTCGTATGAACGCTTTTGCCATTTGGAATATGACTAGCTTAATGGCTCGCGCTAAATAATCGAGAAACTATTTCATATCACTCACTATTCGTAGTGTTTCTCTAGCCAATCTTTACGTACAAATGACTCACTGATAACTGACCCTATTTTTAAACGTTTTAGACAATCAACAACAGTCAGTGAATAATAATAACAACAGTGAAAATAATGATCAAGTAAAACAGCAAACAGATGAAAATACACAACAAAGTTCAGGCGATAATAGTACACGGGAAAATCGAAAAGAAACTGACAATAACAATAGTAGTCAACAACAAGGTGCCGGTGATTTTAGAGAACAGCGAACTGAAGGAACTAAAGAAAATGTAAATGTTTAGCAACGAAATGAACATCAACAAGTGAAAACTGAATGAAATAGACAAATAATACACGCACAAAGCCGAGATGAAAATAGCTCCTGCGTAGGTCCATATAATTGTTGTTGTTTTTTCTTCTGATTAATCGAGATCGCAAACACTCACCCGCAACATACTATGAAATAACATTTGCGTGACTAATTGTCTTGCAATATGTACATCGTTTTTTTCCTTATTCTGTTATTTTCTTTTGCGACTTACTCTCGTGTATTTATATCTTAATTATTCGTGATCATCTTCCTTTTTGGTCCTATGCGCATTTGTACGATCTCAAATAAAACTGGTTAAATTCATTTTTTTTCTCTTTCTCTTGTCTCCTGTCTGTGCAAGAACGCTAACCTCTTTTGTTTTTCATTCCTAACATTATACCTCATAGATTGTTAGAGAAACGAGCAAGAAAAGTCTTTTATATTTTAGCTTGTTTTGTGTTTTTTTTGACTTTTTCTTGCTGTTTCATTTTTAGGTAAAAGGTATAATGTGAAAATCAACCGATACGAGAATAAACTGTTTTCTGTTTTTTTTAATGCACTTACCATATACGCACCCGTACCGTTCTGTTGTTGTTCTTATGATTTTTGTGTTCGTGTTTTGTTTTGCTGTTTTCTTATTAAGTAGCCGGTGCAGTGTTGTTATGTTCTTATTGTTTTATTATTCTACTGAACTATTACTATGAGAGTGCACAAGTAACTTTGTTCTGTTAATGTACAGTTAAAACTAAATGTGGGTGTGTGCAAACATCCGTTGTTTACTTTTTTTCGTTGTTCTCTCTGTTTCTTTTGAAATAAACAAACAAAGCTTTGAAACATAGTGAATAATTTATGTCAGCTTTTATCAGAAAAAAAGGAATGTATCAAACGTATTTATGCAGCGAGTAGACCAGATAACTGGATATTTTTGTTTTCTGTTTTCTAAAAAGATGATGAAAATCATTCTTTGGCTAGTTTTTTCCTGTCCGAATTTGACATTACATAAAAAAACCACCCATACTGTATGAACAATCGATCTTACAAACAGATAGCTCTGAATCCATTGAATATTTCTACATCAGCCCATCTTGCTCATTTTTTACATCAATCGAATATAATTAGTCTAAAGACTGAGACGCGTAATTTGTACCGGTCCTCCATTGTTGTTATACAGAACATAGAGGATTTTGTTAAACAGAAAATTTCTTTATCGTAGATCTCGGACGAATTGTTTAAACTTTATTTCATTGTCTAAAAGAAACAAGGATGTAGAATAAGATGAATGATAACTGACATGTTTCCGTTTAATCTAATTTTTCGATAGATAATAGGGGACTTTTCAGTTTTTATAATTTAGTTTAATTTAAATTATAAATTTATAAAAATGTAGATAACATAGTAACAAAAGTTGAAGAGCAACATACTTCCGTTCATTTTCTATCTGATAAATATGTGAGGAAGATTTTTATCAACAAAAAAACATCAAGAAATTTTACACGGTATTTAATTTTGTTGTTATCAATACTCGAACTGTCTGATCAAATGCTGAGGTACACGCTAAGCCCGCTTTGTCTGGACTCCAGTCAAACCCAGATGCTGGCTGAGAAGATAAACCAATGTTTTGTAGTAAAGTTAAAGATCCCATCACTCCAATTTCACTACCATCGGTCTGTTTTTGAACACGTTTATCAGGATAGTTACTAAAATTCAGGAAAATAAAAGTTACTCACTAGACTTTTGTAAGAGATAAGTATTACTTACTATTTCCATAAATAATATGATCCTGTACCCCCACAAGTCATGAATATATCACGATTTTGTGGTAAATGTCGACCTAGCCAAACCGTTGAATTATGAGCCTAGAGTTGAAATAAAACGAGTGACGATTCTGTTTAGTAAAAACTTTTGTTTTATTTACTTTTTCAGTAAGTGACGAATATCCTTTTTCTACATGTTGTGTGAGCATATCAAATACGTGTATTTTACTTTCTAATGTTGTTGCAACTAATTTATTCATTTCAATATCTTTACGATCAAATTCAAGGCAGCACACCTTAAAAGACAATATACAAATAGGATATTATATTAACTTCAATTATTCTCATTTCGTTATACTTACACCATTCTTTACATTTGTTTCCCATTTTAAAGACATTGTTCTTAAGTCAAATAATTTCACATCACCATTATCATAACCTATTGAATGATTGTTGGTTTTTATTTATGTCTATACAGCATAGCGTGTTAAATCTTACCCGCACACACGACTCTTTCAGACGAATTGAAAGCGTTTCCTATAAACACAAAATATAAGAAATATTTTTAATAGAAACTGAATGAGCAAGAACTTACCAAAGCACACAGCCCAACAATCACGTTTTGTTTCGCCTTCAGCTGGTTCCATACTTGCAACGGGATGATCTTTTTGTCGTGGATCCCATACATGAACACGTCCATCACGACTAGCCGTAGCGATTTCCGGTGCTCCAACTCCGATACCCAGACCGCCTACTCCATCGATTGCATTTATTATTTCTTTATGTCCTTTTACAGAATAAACAGGTGTATCTAATTTTTCCAAATCCCTAAAAATGATCAGATTTTCGAAAGTTCATATTCATTTTTCTCATGGTTTGAAACTCGACACATACCATAATTGCATGTAACCATCGAAATTTCCTGTAGCAAAATGTCGTCGTTGTGCTGGAGAAGCACCAAACGTTCCACATTTGAATGCACTTGGTTTTTCATGCTAAATAATTGATATCAACATTAGAACAAAACGTTGCGACAAGAATAAATAAAGCATTACTTGTGAAATAAGATTAATATCGCCGTGACCAATTTCATAAATTTCAAATGCACCTGTTCCACGAGCATGATTTCCTAATGCTACAAATTTTGCTGATGTTGGTATCCATTTACAATCGAATACTGTGTAATTCACCGATTTTTGACTATGTAGAATAATTTGTGGTTTATCCATAATATCTAAAAGATAAACAAGGACGACTTTTATTGTTACTGATGATTAGGGTGTCCATAAGACTATGCGAAAAATGTTCAGAGTGATACCCAAGCTGACGTGAAGAAACGAGGTGATAAGGCGACCACAATACGGTTCTTTAGGAATGTCTTTACAAATACATATAGCAACTCATGTAACGGAAAATAATGATATGATTTTTTCGTAGTTTCTGATAAAGTCGGATAATCATGAACTCAAGGAAGTTATGTGATAGAATAAGTACTCATTTTTGCTGTAGAATGAAACAGGCCATTTTGTGTTGCTACGTATAGTCCTCGGTAAAATAATTGCCTATTGGTTGTTTATCATTAGCTAGTAGTAAACTGTAGAAAGATAAAAAAATTGATAAATCAAATTTAGGTTTTTTATTCCATAATTGTCTCACAAATCCTATATGAGATCACATTTCAAGAGGAAGAATTACTGAAGTTTCATCTTCATCTCGATTGTTCTATGTTGGTGTGAAGTATTCAGCGTCCGTTTGCCGTTTTGCGTATCGATTGATATTAACAAACTATTTAAAGAAGTCTTCTTAAAATACATATATTCAATTTGTCTGACTGTGCACATTAAATTTTACACAAAAACAGTATCACTTTCTCTTACTTAATTAATGGCGACTACCATTGAACGTAATGCTGCTGATTCAATCGATGATTTAGTTAACGAAGCTGAAGCATTAAAAACACGTCTGGAAGAAGAACGTGTAAAATTTAATGATATGGAATGTATGTATTATACCAGTTGACTTTTTATCATCAATTTTTATTTTAAGTTAAAATTTTACGATGATACGAGAGAGGACGTTACCATTTTGTTTTTATTTTCTAGAGAGCCCTACCATAAAATATCGAGGATCCTAATTACAATAAGTTGTTTTTGTTTATTTTTTTAGTAACAACAGTCGCTGAAAAACTTGACGCCTTGCTATCATTCAACACCAGATCAAGACGATTACTGAAAGGTCACCAAGGTAAAGTTTTGGCATTGGATTGGTGTACTGATAAACGACACATGGTTAGCACATCACAGGTAGGTGAAATGTTATTGAGTAATTTAAAAAGTTTCAAAACACGATTGTTTATTCATTACAGGATGGAAAACTCATTGTCTGGGATGCATTCACTACAAATAAAGTTCGTCTAAGTAAATACTCGATCAAATCGAAATTTACTATTTTTTTTCTATCTAGGAAAGTGTTATTACACTGCCGACAACGTGGGTAATGGCTTGTGCTTATTCTCCATCTGGCTCAAAAATTGCTTGTGGGTATGTAATCATTCTCACATTAGATAATCAACGTTAAGTAAAAACATTTTTGTTTAGAAAGCAAATTGAAGTCTAGGTAAATCGCTCTCACTAATCACTCACAAAACTCTACTAACATCAGTGCTCTTAAACTATTTTGCATGTTCATATTTCTCTTTCTACTGTTTAAAGCTTATTATGATCATTAATTATTTTTATTTCTTTTGTTTAGAGGTTTGGACAATAAAGTGACACTTTATTCACTTAATTTCGATGAAGATGTTAATAAACATAAGAAAGTCATTTCTAATCATTTAAATTATATATCATCATGCAAATTTATGCATTCTGATCAACAAGTATGTATGTGTCAATCTATTCAAGTTTCGATTCAAATTTTTTATATTATTTATATTTTTTTCAGCTTTTAACTGCAAGTGGTGATAGCACAGCAAAATTGTGGGATGTTGAAAGTAGTACAGCTATTCAGACATTTCAAGGTCATCAGGCAGATATAATGGGCATCGATGTGTCGCCAAGTGAAAGCGGCAATATATTCGTGTCTGGTGTAAGTGTGAGCAGAATGTAAGGGTTGGAGATAATCAAAATTATGTTGTTTCTTTAGAGTTCTGATCACATGGCAATGGTTTGGGATATACGTACTGGTCAATATGTACAAATATTTGAAGGACACGAATCCGATGTGAATTGTGTTCGATTTTATCCGAGTGGTGATGCGTTTGTTACCGGCTCAGATGATGCAACGGTAAAATGTTTTGAAAATTGTTAGAAGATAACTTTATTTTTTCGGTAACTTTATTTTTATTTATATAGTGTCGTTTGTTTGATTTACGAGCTGATAGACAAGTAGCAATTTTCAAAAAAGAATCGATTATATTTGCTTGTAATGCTGTGGATTTTTCATTGAGTGGTAAGAACAATGGAACAACAAGTACATAAAGAACGATTGATGACTATTTCGTTTAGGACGACTATTATTTGGTGGTTATAACGATTATTGTATTAACGTCTGGGACACATTGAAAGGTTCTCGTGTCGCAATATTATATGGACATGAATATCGTGTTAGTTGTTTACAGATATCACCAGATGGTACAGCATTGGGAACAGGAAGTTGGGATAGTACTCTAAGGGTAAACAGAATTGCCTGTTAAAAGGCGAGCAGAACTTTTAGATAACGATTATATTTTCCTTTTAGATATGGGCTTAATGTGTGTACTTTTTTACATAATACAATGAATTAAATCTCTCTATTCTGTAATTTTTTGTTGTGGTTGTTATAAACTGTACAGAGTAAATTTATTGTCTAGTCTTAAACGAAAAAAACAGAATCTAGTCATTTTTATCTTCAATTTATTCGTTGTTTTGTAAATTTATTTTTGTGTTTTTTATCGATCATCTGTACATATATTTAATTTTCTTTTGAACAATAAATACCTGTTCGCTAACTTTATGTCGAAAAAAAACAGTAGTTCAATATAATCGGTGAGTTTTGAAAAGTAGTATGTCTACTTATTACCGAATTCGTTTCTTCCCGCTCGATTTTATTCCGATAAGAAATGTGTGATCCAACTTTCTGTCTTCGCATACCATCAGAAAGAAAAGATCTAAAAGTAAGAGAATTTAATAATGAACAGAAGAAAAAAACGTTTGTATTTCATAACTTTATCTGTTTTTTTGAGTATAAAGTTGGAAACTGTTTAAGTACAAAACTTTGTAATCCGTTTTTTTTCGTAACCTTACTGTTCAATTATATTAAATTCAATTAATTTCTAAACGTTCTGATATGTTGAAATTTATTTCAATACATCGATAGAAGGAAAGAAATCAAGATCAACGTCGATTATTTTGAATATGATTCTAAAAATTAGAGCTGGGCAAGTCAAGTCACTTGACTTGACCTGCGAAATTTTTGCTGACTCATGACTTGACTTGATCTGACTTGAAAATCTTTATAAAAGACTTGACTTGCCTTGTGACTTGGCATAAAAAATCATCATGCATATTTTTAAACCGCTTATGCAATCTAATTTTAAATAATAATTCACAATGATTTGGGAATGTTGATGTTATAATATATAAGAATTTATGCACAGTAACAAGAAGGGCATTTTGCAATAGCATAACAAGTCTGTGTTCTAATACCAAGAAATGGAGACTCTTTTATGTCGTTTTCTACGGAAAAAAAAATTTCAAGTCATGACTTGTGACTTGGCTTGACTTGGAAAACCCCGAGACTTGACTTGAATTGAGAAAATTTTTGATGACTTGGCCTGACTTGTGATTTGGAAAACCCGTGGCTTGCCCAGCTTTGCTAAAAACGCCAAGTAAACTGTTCATAGCTTTTGAATATTGTATGAAGATTTCCTATCATAGATGATAATACACACGCTGCTTGAGTGGTGAAACGAAATATATTTTTTTTGTGACAGTTGGTTGTGTTCAGTATGTAGTCAGTCATTTTGTTTACGAGAAACGAGAAGATGAATGCATAATTGAGTGATCACTACGACTATTCTCATCCATATTTGAGACATAAAGATAATCTATACAGAAAATTTTCTTCTGTAATACGACTATTTAATGCAGACAGAAGGTCGTATGTCAAATATATTGATCTTCTGATCGTTATACAAAAGCAATAACAATTTATTGACGAAAAGTGAGAGGCATCAAAGGTTTCCGATCTATAATAACAATGATTCAACCGAAATAATACCAAAAGTATCTTAAACTCAGAGAAAAAGATAATAGTAAATAAATAGTATTGCATAAAAAAAAGAAACCAGCTAATATAGCTTTTTTTTTTATAGCTATAAGGAGAGATAAAGAACTACCGTAATAGATGCTGAACTAGAACTTTTTTGAAAGACGTTAAAGAATGAAAGAAGAAAAATAAATGACTGACTTCGGAAGATTATTCCAATTAGGAACAGTTAAATAAAAAAAGAAGAGAAAATTATTTGTAAAGAAAATTCCTTGTCAGGAAGTTGGATGCGACTAGAGGCCGACATAGAGATTTTTTGTTGTTGTCCATATTCGTCCACGTACATGGATAAATACTAAAAAGAATGTCTATGTTTATGGGCATGTTTATTTAATGTAGATCGCTAGATGCAAACATATTTCAAATGATGACAGCGTAAGAAAGAATAATATGGACGATGAACAGCATAGAAAATTGAATGAGAACTAAGACGATGGTAAGCTATGAAGAATTATAGAAGTCTAAAGTATTTTATTTACAGAGAGCAGAAAGATTTGAACGAGAAAGTTGTGGCACAAGGAAGAAGCGAGAGAAACGATAGTCAATATCACACACTGTAGAGTTGAAAAGTATTTTTAAAGTTAGCGGACTTTAGTAAAAAATTTAAATAGTTATAATTAGAGCTAGAACGTTTTTCCTTAGTTTCACGTGAGCACTGCCTTCCCTCCCTCCCGCAGCCTTTGCTTAAAAAGATATAACGAGATGAATATAGCAGCAAAAGTCAAACGACCAAAAGCATCACACAGTGGGCACTCAGGCGGAAATTTGAGCAAAAATCGACAAGTGAGCTTTTTTGAATTCGAACAGTAGTTAAAGTAGTCCTTGAAAAGCGCTATATAAGCAGTATTTAATGATCGACTAGTAATGAACTCCTTCGATGAGTAAGTTAATTCACGAACATTCACAAAAAAACACCGTCAAATATGACACATCTGCAAAGATTCTTATTTCTATGTACAGACGTGCAATATTACCCTATCCAAAGCACATATTTGGAATCAGCACAACCTATTGCATCTCCTGATAATAGAAGGTACTCCTTTTGCATCTTGTACGAAACGAAAAAAGGTCTAGTAGTCTAGATTACTACGGTCCGACATGAGACAACCTCAGTCCAGTGACAGCGCTAAGCCTGAACAGACCTTCTAATTACATAAAAATGTTCCTCAGTCTATCGTGTATTTATGATGATCTCGTCTTTTCTCGTCTTTTTTTCTAAGTCGAGTTATTGATTTTACAAAAGCCTATAGGGTTTTCGAGGTAATTCGCGTTTTTCTCCCATAAGAGCACTGTTTCCATAACATAAAGTCATATCCGGAATCACCGTGAAAAATTACGTCGAATGATGTATAGTTTGTTAGTTTTACAAATAAAACATTTTTTGATTAAAATTCAGAGCAAGGGTTCCCCTAAGGAACTTTTTGTCGAAAAGATTTTTTTTCAAATTCGACCTTTTTTACTTCTGCTAATATCTGACACATAGTAAGACCATATTATGCTAAAATAATCATTTTCTAACTCAAAAAATCAGATGTCCGCCTGCTCTATGGGAAAATGCGTACTGTGAATCATGCAAGAATAAAGTCTCGATTAGTTTTGTGAGAAGAGCAAAAATTTCTGGGTGGAACTGTTAAATAATGACTACATTTTATTGTGGCATTTAGTACATCATCATAAAACTGGTTCTTACGCTTAGCATTGTGTAATAAAGACAAATATATACAAGCCATTTTTAAACGTGTAAAAAATATATTGGACAAATTCTATTCTTGGATATACACTTACAGTAATGATTTTTTTGAGGGCGATCTGACTGTCATCTTTTTTCAAATATCAATTGAGTAGTTTGTTTCGAAAAATGTGTTATTCATATTGAATTGAATTTATATTTAGAAACAAGGAATATTTTTGTTCTAACAAAACTGCACATGCTTTTATTCTCATGAGAATTCTATTAAACTTTTTTCTAATTACTGAAACTAATTTCCATATTGTCGAAAGAAACTCATGGTTTTTATCCTATTAATGACAAATCATCTGATCTACTCACCCGATAAATAAAAAAATAGAAATTTAAAATAAAAATTTTTAAAAAGCAATCGTTTTTTTCTTCTATTTCATTATGCAGATCCGTGTTTGATTTATCTAGTTTTCTCCAAGGGGATATTATGCACACTGTGTTGTTGTTGTTTTTTTCTTCTATCTTTTTTTTTATACTTTATATCTTCGTCATCATCACAACAATATGGAAAGTCTGATGAATACAAACATCTTTATTCCAATTTCTTATCGTTTGTGCCTAGAGTCTATTTTTTGTTGATTAAGAATAAAATATTAGTTAGGATTATGAAAAAAGAAGGAAAAAACAAATTAAAGTTATGTACATCATTAAACATCAAACAATTCGATGATACTTATCTTGAAATGCTTTTTTATTTTAGAAAAATCTAGGTAAGATTTAATATTAGTCAGTTTTTTTAAAAATGAGACGATTAGAAGAATAGTCAAACTTCGTTTGTTCCTCTCAGTGTTGATCAACTCGTACAAGATCTTTCTTTATTCACACATGACATTATTAATATAAGATAATAAAAAGAGATTAGAGATTAAATAACTTTTACTTAGAATAGCTACAGTTCATTAACACTAGATTATACTCTTATGCTCGCTACAAACAAATTTTTTTGTATGAAATATTATTGTATATATTGGATTTTATTTTCAAATATCTAAAACTGCATGTTAACCAGTATTTATTAGTCTCTATTTCTAATATTATATTGATTAATATATTTTTAAAATTAGTAAAATAGTTTCTACAACACAGTTAATAGATGAAGTTTATACAAAAATATATACTGCCAATAGTAACAAAAATAAGGTCTAATTAAGTAGTAAAATTTTTTTCTTCTTCTTCTGTAGTGAGTCGAGTGTACTAATATCATTGACATAGGCGACATTTTTTGAAGAATAAATAAAATGTCACTACGAAGATTATAATGAGCAATGGTGTGACAATAACAATGAAATAAATCAGGAAGAAAGTTGAGATGGTGTGAAAATGATTAGTGTCACAGATGCTATGATGTTATTTAAAAGTAATAAGTTATTAGTACCGTTTTGTAAGTGAAAAATGATAAAAGCCCGTTGGTTTTAAGTTGTGAATACTATTGAAAAAAAGTATACAACGTCGTAAAAGAGAGTACACTAGTAATAATCTAATGTTATTTTTTTTTGTTGAATATTTGTGGTAAGAATTACTTTTTTGTTTCATTAGAAATTCTTCATAATTAGACAATGATTATTAGTGAAAATCAATTAAGTTTGATGTTATTCTTGATTTATACGCACACACACTATATATATATAGATATAGATATATAGATATATATATGTATATGTATATACATTATTTAACATTCACATCTCATAGGATATATAGT